CATACATTAAATTATGCATATATTATGCATAGTTAATTGTATATTTTATTATATAAGTAAATCCTAAGGAAGCTTGGATGTGTCCCTGCAGAGCCCTCCTGAAATTACCATGCAATTATAATTTTTAATATAAGGAGGAAAAAAAATGGTTGCATTTATGATTTCAACATTATTATTTCCACTCTTATTGTTACTATATCTGTATGCCACCCAATTCCCAGCAGCTCTGGGCAATTTAGAGATTTTAATTTAAGCATGAAAAACACAACAATAAAAACAACAAGAAACCAAAAAGGGTAGAGCTGGTAGAATAACAAACTGGGTGAAAACAAAAGAGAACAATCTAGGTCAGGGGTGTCAAACTTGGCAAGGCCTGAATAAAGAGCCAGGCCTTCAGACTCTTTTGTAACCCCAGGGTGGGGGGCTGTTCAGATCTTGGGAGAACCTCATTCCAGAAGGCAGGCATTACTACAGAAAAGGCATATTTCTGGGGTCTCAATAAATGCCATTGCTTAATTGAAGGAACCTACAGCACACCAACCCTCCCAGATTGAATCAGCTGGTGGATACTATGGGAGATAGGTGAACCCTGAAATAACCAAACTCTATGAATTTAATTAACTTCACTTTATAAGACACATTTTTAATTGCATTAAAATGAACTCAAATATAATTTTAGCCTTGCTTACTTCTTTGGACTGCAGTTATTATTTTGCTGTTCAAAAGGTCAGGAACTGCCTACAAGCTGAAAAATTAGCACCTCTTCCAAACCCTTCTGTAAAGCTTGTTTGTTGTGTAAAATGCCAGATCCAGCTCAACAAGTAAAGCAATACATTTACGCAAGAGTAGTATCAGTTGAACTTCCTCCTGAATGCAGTTTTTAAAGCTACAGGACTGTCTTTTGGATTTGGCCTTTGACCTCCCATACAAAATGCCAATAGAACTGACGTTGCCATTTCTGCAACTGATCAGAGGGCTACATGATTGAATCAGCTCTTCCTTATAAAGTCAGAAGGGATGATAAGGTGAAGGATCTGGATCAGGGTTGCTCAGCCCTAGTTACTTTAAAATGTGTGGACTTCAACTCCCAGAATTCCACAGCTAATGGGAAGTTGGAATCTTAACGTTGCTGAGGTTGAGAATCTTCAATCTGTATACTGGATATTGAATATGATGCCTTTGGTTTTCCTCATCTCCCCCTTCACTGTTTCCAACAGCTTGGAAGAAGATTTCATCACTTGGCGTGAACAGTTTTGGCCAGCAGTGTGTGAACATTTTGGCGTGGAAGCCACAGGAGATGAATCCAGGTCAGTGTGGAATAGCAACTAGTAAGAGAAGAGAGCTTGGGAACCACTGGTACACCTTCTGCAAAGAGGAGGTTGGGGCACAGGTGGTTCTCAGCTTCATTTCCAAAGTAGTCTTCAAGTAAGCAGTTCTGAGCTCTAGCAAGAGCAGTTTTGCCTGGTGCCAGCAAAGAGAGAAGATGGTGGCTCTATCCACTCCCATCATGTAACCTATGATAAACTGCTCTTGGAAAAATAAGGCAGGTAGAAGGAGGACAGAAAAAACCCCCCAGCCTTGTGGCTCTGCTCTGATCATGGGGGAGTCCCTTAATGACTGCCTCCAGGTTCACCATGTGGCAATATGAGCTCCCTCCCACTCTGACTCCTGAAATTGAAAACCCAGCATCTATTTATTTATTTGTACCCTGCCTTTATTATTTTTAAAAATAACTCAAGACAATGAACATATCCAGCCTACCTTTCTCCTATTTTCCCCACAACAACAATCCTGTGAGGTGGTTGGACTGAGACAGAGTGACTGGCCCAAATTCACTCAGCTGGCTTTAATGGCTAAAGTGGGACTTGAACTCATGGTGTCGTACTTTCTAGCCTAGTCCCTTAACCACTAGACCAGTGATGGCGAACCTTTTAGAGACCGAGTGCCCAAACTGCAACCCAAAACCCACTTATGCATCGTCGAGTGCCGGGTGGGTGTGGCCCATTGGGTGGGTGTGGCCCATTGGGTGGGCATGGCCCATTGGGTGGGCGTTGCTGCAGTGGTAACAGCAGACTGGGTGGGACTAAAAAGTTCAACCAATCAATTCCAACTTTGCAAGATCTTTTTTTTCGCCGCGAGAAGTTGAAATTGACTGATTGAACTTTTTTTTTTTTTTTTTTGCTGACGGCGGCGGAGGCCTAAAGCGAAAAGGTTTTATAAAACCCAGCTGAAGGCCTAGGACTGGGGTGACGGCGCGCATGCCCACAGAGAGGGCTCTGAGTGCTGCCTCTGGCACCCGTGCCATAAGTTCGCCACCACTGCACTAGACCAAGCTGACTTTCTAACACAAATTTTTATTTCCTTTCTTTTTTTCTCTAGCATTCGGCAGTACGAGCTGGTGGTTCACAAAGACATTGCCCCAGCCAAAGTTTACATAGGTGAAATGGGACGCCTCAAGAGCTATGAGAACCAGAAACCGTAAGTTACCAAAAGGGAGACGGAGACAAACAAGGCATGCAAGGTCAAAACCCTCCAAGCATTAGCTAGTGGCGCCCCCCCCCATCCCCAACCAGGAAAGACACGTGGAATTTCCTTTATTGTACTTCATCTATAGACAGAAGTCCTGCCAAACGAATGCAACCGTTTGCATCACCATAGATATACTATGAGAATTGCTAGGAAGGAGCCTTCTTAATTCTCATTCTCTTGGCCAAACTGTCTAAGCTTTGCTGCCTCTTTGCCCTCTGGAATGCAGTCCCTTCCTTTTGGGAATCCAGACTAGACTACATTCCACACCACAGGTAGAGGCTGAATTGCTTATAAGCATTTCTCAAACTGCAACAATAAAATCTTGACTGTATTGAAATATTTGAATTTCCCTTACAAGGAAAACTGTAAATGTATCTTCGTTATCACAATAATAGTGGTAACAGTAATAGTTTTTCTTCTGTTGTAGTTCCTTCTCTTCTTCCTGCTTCCTTTTAAAATTATTACTATTTCCTCCTCCTCCTCCCTTTATTAGTGTTATTAGAACTTCTGCTGCTGCTTCTCCTCCATCTTCTACTTAATTATTATTATTACTTTCCCTTCTTATTCCTAAAGGGACAAAGAGTGGTATATGAAATCAGCAGGGCACACAGACAATAAAAACAATACAATTCAAGAAGCAATCTCTTCTCTTTAAAATCCCATTTAGAGAAATCCCCATGAAAAGGGGTGCAGTAACTTAAGGAGAGTTCTTAACAAGGGGAAGCCCTCATCCAGTTGTGAATAAGAATGTCCATTTGTGAACAACTGTATATTAAAGAAATATTACTAAATTGCACCCAGTCTTGGTGGACTGAGTGGCTGCTGGGTGGCTGCCATACAGTCTTTGAAAACTGCTTCCTGTAACAAGGGCAGGTGAAAAATGGTAGGATCACGAGACGCTCACAGTTTTCTGAAGTTTTCCTTTAAGAAAGAACAAAGGGAGCCTCCATGGAAAAGAGCTACCTGGGAGACAGCTAATTGTGGCCAAACTATAGGAGTCTCAATTGCTCCTACTTTAGTGTGTGACTTCCGCATTAGATGTGCTATCAGAGCAGTGGATATAATGGGCGGGTAGAAAACTTCAGCAATTTTTTTTTTCCATTTAGTCAAAAGCAAATGAGCGTTCATGAAGACACCAGAATCTCATGATATTTTAGCTATTGGTTTCATTTTTTTTAAATTCTGAAGGACGGTTGATGCTATGTAGAGCTATGTGGAAGCAAACTTGGTATAGTTGCTCAAGCAGCTCCTGGTGATTTACAAAATAGAAAAAGAAAGATGATATAAAAAGGTATTGCATGAATTGCTCTATAGAAATCCACTAGAGAGAGTGCCTGGCATACTGGGGCAGGGGTGGATGGGCAGAGGGCTTCATAGCATGGATATCATTGCAAACTGTTGCTTTTGGGGCCCTGTCTTGCCAGGACCTCCTTCAGTATGTGTTCAGAAGACCCAATTGCAGTGCAATAAACCATTCGAGTCATTAACCAGATATGTCTCCTGGGGTTCCTTCTAGACCATTTGATGCCAAGAATCCCTATTTGGCCCCAGTTACTTTGAACCGGAAGCTCAACCAAGGTGGAGAGAGGCACCTAGTGCATCATGAACTGGACATCACTGGGTCTAAAATCAGGTAAATGGGAATTTTGGAGATTCTGGAATCATCAAAGCTGCAGGGCACTGGAATGAAGAAGCTTGCTTTAAACACAGGCTTAATGGCTGTGTTGACAAAACACATAGTTAACCAGGTCAGTTAAAGAGTTAGAGGCTGCGTTTGTACAACGTGTTAAACTTGGTTATGGATAACCTAAATTATTTTTTTGTGTGTGGATTAGCACATTGTATTAAGTAACACAATTGATTAATTATTAGTTCATTGCATTGCACAAACTCTGAGTACAAGTAGACCTTGATTAATGACTGCCCTATTTAGCAACCATTCAAGGTTACAATAGGGCTGAAAAAGTAACTTAACAACCAGCCCTTGCATTTATGACTGTTGTAGTGTCTCTGTGATCATGTGAGATAAACATTTGGGCATTAATCAACTGGCAGGCATTTGTGCGCTTCACAGCCAGCTTCCAACAAACAGTTGATGGAGAAACTGGCAGTAAAATCGCAAGTTGCAGTCATGTGATGTCTTGCTTAATAACCATGTCACTTGGTAAAGAAGTTGTTGGTCCCAATTGTGGTCATTAAGCGAGGACTATCTTTATGGATAAATTCAATAACTAACTGAAACACATTGTGTGAATGCAGCCTTCAATCTGTGTCAAAGGATTTGCCTCCTTGAGCTTTAAAAGATCTGACTTCATTGTAATAGAGATGAAATGCTATTGGATTAATACTCTTAAAGAATTCCCAGGCTTTGTGGGGACCTTTAACAAGGATTGTGAATCCAAAGATGTATTTCAGTGACCTGGTTCAGACTAAACTATCTGGCTGTGGTTCACTAAACCATAATATGCTTTTGTTTTGGCTTAGCGTGTTGTATGGATGCAGACAGCAGTGATTTATTCAACAGACCATAGTTAAACTGTACCTTACATGATTTAAAAACTCAGCCTCTTGCTTTCTTTCCCAGGTATGAATCTGGAGACCATATTGCTGTATATCCAGCCAATGATACTTCACTGGTGAATCAACTGGGTGAAATACTTAGTGCTGATTTGGATGCAGTGATCTCCTTAAACAATTTAGATGGTGAGTATATAAAGACGCCCTCTTTGTTTATGAGCTTTTTTGTTTTGAAAACTTGACGGTGCAAAATGTTTCTCCCTATTTTATCAGATCTTTTGAGCAACCATCCCCATTCTTCTTTACCATACAAACTGTGGCTGATGGAATGTGCTGTTCCCAATAACTGTAAAGCATTAGACGCCTTCCTGTCATTTTTATCAAAAGAGCCCCTGGCAGAGATGCACATAGCTAAGAGTGTACTTTGCTTTTCACAGACAGTTCTCATTTTTTGACAGTTGCTGCAGCAAAAAGTTTCATGCTGGCATAATTCCAATCTGTGCCAGAGCAACTATTTGAAGCTGGGATTCATTTCTGGCAGAACTAGTTTCCACACCTGATTTCAAGGGCGTTTACATCCAATTGCCCAATCAGGTTGCTCGATTAAGATACTCTGCAGTCTTATTCGGCCCTCTTTATGAATCTTGAGGCTGCAACATTTAAAGTGGGGAGACCTGCCAAACTTGCTAAGCCTGTTGGGAATATGTATTAGCTGATGGGGGCAGACATGCTTCACTTGCATTTTGGGGGTTACCGAATGAGTCTTCCAGCTGAATCTCCAATAGATTCTAGGCTCAGCAGTTGGCAGCTTTTAGCGCTGCCGCCTACGCTCTTAACAGAGCCATTGCTATTGTGTCTGTGTTACAGTGTGGATGGCAAGGGAGGAGGTGGTAAACACTGAACTGAGGACTCCTCCTTTGTTTCATATTTCAGCTTAGCGAACTGTTTGTTCTGTTGCATTGTGTGCCCTAATGTGATTATTTCTCAGATTTCAAGTGTGCTGGTTTCTTTCATCACATGAGATCTTTCTTTCCCCTTGCAAGGTGACCTTATCTCACACGAACACTTTGGAAATGGGATGCTTTAATGAATTTTTTTTTGTCCTGTTTTTGCCCACCTGTCCAGCCTGCATTGTGCACTGGGGCACATGGATCTGGTCTCCATAACTACCAAAGCAGTAGAACAACATTGGTGCAACAGAATTGTCCAGCTGAGAGCAGAGTTAAGAACTGAGTAGATTACCTTCCCTGTATGAATGCCATCCAGGTGTATGAACTTCAGCTCCTATAGTTCTTAGCTGGGTCCATGCTAGGTTGGAGAAGATTAGAATATGACCTGTTAGAAAGCTGATGTTTTGTCTTTGCATCACAGTGGTGGAAGCTCAGTTTGTTAGTCATTGGTTATGACTATGAAAGCTGTGGTTGATCTTAACCTTTCAGTCTCAGTTAGAATTGTCAGGATTGTTGCTCGGGCTCTTTATGCAAGATTTGGAGATTTATATTTGAATTTCTGAACTCATTCTCTCTTCTCTTCTCTACAGAGGAATCCAACAAGAAGCATCCGTTCCCTTGCCCAACTTCATACCGCACAGCCCTGACCTACTATTTGGATATCACTAATCCACCACGCACTAATGTTCTCTATGAGTTGGCTCAATATGCCACAAATGCCAGTGAACAGGAGAAACTGCGCAAGATGGCCTCCTCCTCTGCTGAAGGCAAGGTGGGTACTGATCTGCGTTCACGTAATGTTACCAAAATGTCATCTGTGGTTAGTGCCACCAAATTTGGGTTGCAGCAAACCAGGCCACCAGTAGATGGTGGCAAAGATAAAGGCAAAAACTCAGTATACTGCCATCTGGTGGTCCTCTGTATTTTTGCAGCCCTGATCTGCAAAATCCTACATTGAGCCTTTGAAGGAGAACTTGTTGGAATTGGTAGACATAGGGGATTTCCAATTTTCTTTGAATCAGACAAGCAAAATAGTACAGAAGCTGTTTTCAAGGGTGAAATGCCAAGTGGGAAGATAGACATGCTTGATCCATGTCTCACTTAGATTCTCCTAGTCTATTCTTCTGGTAAGGCAGAAATGGAATGGAATAGGGATTGACAGTGTCTGGGTTATCAGTATTGCTGTTTTAGCCCATGGAAAATCCCATCCTGAATGATGACTCGAAACTTAAAAAGCAGGACTGGGAATCTCCACATGGTGGTGCCTACACATCAGATTTGGTAGGATAGGAAGTAGCCAGTTGTCTTCTGCTAAGCCAGCCCTTGCAGTCGTTCTTCCTCAATTAACTTAAAGCAGGGCTTTTCAACCTTTTCACCCATTGTACCACTTTTAGGATATGGCAATATCCAAGTACCACCAGTCGCCTAGCAAGGTGTCAAAAACTTGATGACCCAAAAAAAAAAAAAGGAAAAAAGTGATGAAGTACAGGTAGTCCTCGACTTACAACAGTTCACTTAGTGACTGTTCGAAGTTACAGTGGCACTGAAAAAAGTGCCCCCCAAGCCACAGCCGAGCAAGACACCTGCCTGCCCGCCCGGCGGCGCTCTTCCTCCTGTCCGAGGTTTTCATTGTGAGCATTTCTGTTGAGGATTGGCAGTGGGGGTGGTGTGTGGTGTGGTTGGTTTTTATTCCCCCCATCTGTTGGGTGGTTGCAGCAGGTTTTGGTCACTTCACATGACCCTGGGAGACTGTGACCATCATAAATATGAATCAGTTGCCAAGCATCTGAATGTAAATCACAAGACCCTGGAGGTAAGGCAACATTCCAGCTGATCGGCGCTTCTTCTGGGCTCAGTAGAAGCGCCAGGATCAGTGCTGCTTTCCAGCTGATTGGTGCTTCTTCAGGGCTCAGCAGAAGCACCAGGATCAGCGCCGAGCTCCAGCTGGAGCCTTGCGCTGATCCTGGCGCTTCCACTGAGCCCCGATAGCCCCAGAGCCCCAATCAGCTGGAAAGTGGCACTGATCCTGGCGCTTCCGCTGAGCCCTGACAGCCCTGCAACTCCAGCCATCTTGTGCGGTGCTGCCACCAGTTCAGCTCATTCCCCTCCCCCGCTACCACTTTTCTAGGATGGTCACGTACCACCTGTCAGGTGCCAATGTACCACAGGTGGTACTCGTACCACTGGTTGAAAAGCCCTGACTTAGAGCACTCTTCCATTATTTCCCATCCTCCCGATACACTGGATGTAACTGTTATGCTATGCAATCTAGGGTGGATGGAAGTTACAGCCCAAAGCCCCTCCTGAGTATATCAAGTAAAGAGAGACCTTAAGCCCAGAGTTGATTTGTCTAGAACTGACCTTTTTTGAAAATAAATCCACATGGATCACTTTATCCCCTAACATAAATGTTTGCTTGATCCAGACTTTGTATCTCAGCTGGGTTGTTGAGTCCCGGAGGAATATCCTGGCTATCCTGCAGGACACACCTTCTCTGCGGCCTCCTATTGACCACCTTTGTGAACTGCTTCCCCGTCTTCAAGCCCGCTATTACTCCATCGCTTCCACATCCAAGGTGAGCACACTGGCAAGGCATGCCAAGATCTCTCCTGCTTGACAACCCAGTGTAATTTTTTCTGTTACCTTTTTTTAAACTACAACATGTGTACTTTAGTTCTTCTACCCGCCCAGACCCAGTCCTTAGGTTTTTGCCTTAGTCGAAAATGACCTTTCACTTTTCCTAGGCTAGCTGGAATGACAGTTGATATTTTGTGTGAGTCTTCCCCCCTCACTTTTAGCAACAATGAATCTCCCTATTGCAGTGGTTCTCAACCTGTGGGTCGGGACCCCATTTGGGGTTGATCGACCATTTCACGGGGGTCGCCAAGCAAGGCTGTCCGCCATTTTTTTTGTCCGCCATTATTTTTTGTCTGCCATTTTTTCCCCCTTTTCCGGCGGGTGCCTTACCTCCCTTGGGCTGGGCCAGCTGGTGGTCGGCCTGCTCCGTCTCTGCCGTTTGCCAGCTACGCCTCGGCCGGCGCAGGGGGCGGAACCACGCATGTGCGGCGCTCCCGGGCAGGGAAAGTCCTCGACTTACGACCGGTTGGGTAGTCCTCGACTTACGACCGGTTTAGTCCTCGACTTACGACCGGTTTAGTCCTCGACTTACGACCGGTTGGGGTCGCGGCATTAAAAAGGTTGAGAACCACTGCCCTATTGCAATGTCACAACCTGAACAGTCATTGATGAGAAGTTTAAAGATGTCAGGAGTTGGGTTACAGCTCTTACAAATGTTTTATTAGAAAGAAATGATTTGTAAAAGAAGGGGGTGAAATTAATGATTTCACTAATTGCAAGGAATGATGGAAAAGGCACGAAAATGCTGACGGCACTGCCTCCTCGTGATCTTCCCTAATGTGAAGAAGATTTTTTTCATCCTATGTTAATTCCACCAAAGGAAGTAATGGTCTTGTTGTATTTAACGCTGGTTAGACCTGTGCCAAGTTCTGAGCACTAGAAAAGGTTTGTGGCAAACTGGGTTCAAATGAAGGCAACAAATGGTCCTGGGTATGGAGAGCAGATGGAGAGAGAAGAAAAGATCAGGAAAATGCTCTTCAAAACCCAAAGAGCTGCCATATGTAAGAAGGCAACTATTTGTTGCCTGCTGTTTGAAAGGAAGATCTAGTTTTCAGGATCTTTATATACAGAAAAGTCAGCCGAATAGTCTAAAGTTTCTTTAACATTCAGTTTTCAGTAAGAACAGTTCAAAAATTGGAACCAATTAGGAACAGATCATCATGGATAAAATCTATCCATGTGGCTGCCAAGAATTGAAACCAACTTGATGGCTCATAATCAAGCAATCGATCTGAAAACTTGAGGACTCTGTACCACCTCATTAGAGAGAGGCCGTCAAGCCAAGACAGGACAACTCCCCGGATGTGTTGTAATTCTGGATTTCCTGCATCTAGCAAGGGTTTGGACTGGATGGTCTACAACAGGGGTAGTCAACCTTGGCTCTTTTATGACTCGTGGACTTCAACTCCCAGAATTCCTGAGCCAGCTGTGCTGGCTCAGGAATTCTGGGAGTTGAAGTCCACGAGTCATAAAAGAGCCAAGGTTGACTACCCCTGGTCTACAAGGTTGCCTATCTCCCTTACTCGGTTTTTTTCTGATGTCTGAAAATCCACTGAGACATTGCCTAAATATTGAGCATATTTTTGTGGTCATATTTCACTAGAAACTTGTATTTGAACCTTACTATCTTTCAGTATTGAAGTCGGAATCTAGTTCTCAGTTCTGGGCTTCTCTGCCTCCTTGTACTCCTAGGAAACCCAAGTCACAGTTCTTGTCTGTACAAGTTTTTAAGAAGAGACTGGACAGCCATTTGTCCGAAATGGTATAGGGTTTCCTGCCTGAGCAGGGGGTTGGACTAGATGACCTTCAAGGTCCCTTCCAACTTTATTATTATTATTATTATTATTATTATTATTATTATTATTATTATTATTATTATTATTATTATTATTATTTATTATTATTATTATTATTATTATTATTATTATTATTATTATTAAGAAGAGATTGGACAATCATTTGTCTGAAATGGTATAGGGCAGTGATGGTGAACCTTTTAGAGACCGAGTGCCCAAACTGCAACCCAAAACCCACTTATGCATTGTTGGGTGCCGGGTGGGTGTGGCCCATTGGGTGGGCGTGGCTGCAGTGGTAATGGCAGACTGGGTGGGACTAAAAAGTTCAATCAATCAATTCCAGTTTTGCAAGATCTTTTTTTTCCGCAAGAAGTTGAAATTGACTGATTGATTGAACTTTTTTTTTTTTTGCACACGGCGGCGAAGGCTTAAAGTGAAAAGGTTTTATAAAACCCAGATGAAGGCCTAGGATTGGGGCGACGGCGCGCGTGCCCACAGAGAGCGGTCTGAGTGCCGCCTCTGGCACCCGTGCCATAGGTTCGCCACCACTGGTATAGGGTTTCCTGCTTGAGCAGGTGTTGGACTGGAAGACCTCCAAGTCCAGTCCCTTCCAGTTACTCTGTTCTGTTTTTTTCTTTTAACTTTGGTTAGCTCAGCATGTTCCGTGCCCTCAGTTCATTTGGTTTGTTTATGATTCAGTCTGAACCCTGGACAGAGATTAATTCTGTCACTAAGCAAAGTGTGTGATGTAAATGTAATTTAGGACTTTAGAGCTGCTGTCTCTAAAAGCTCCTGATGGCTCTTCCTTGCATTTCACCACCTCTCCAGGTACACCCAAACTCCATCCATATCTGTTCCGTTGTCGTGGAGTACACTACCAAAACGGACCGAGTAAACAAAGGGGTGGCTACTAACTGGCTGAAGAACAAGCAACCCAATGAGAATGGGCACAAATCCACCGTGCCCTTGTATGTCCGGAAATCCCAGTTCCGGCTGCCCTTCAAGCCTAACACTCCTGTCCTCATGATTGGGCCAGGCACAGGGATCGCTCCCTTCATCGGTTTTATTCAGGAGCGGGGCTGGCTCAAACAACAAGGTGAGTGCTCAGCTCAGATTGGCCCCCTGAGCAACAATGGGGCCCCAGGTTAAATTGCTTGGAAAGCAAGACAGCGAAATCCACAGACTGTTAGCTATGGTGGCAAAGTAAGAGCATTCACTGCAGAAGCAGTAGTAGGCTGTTTATCTTAAGTCGTTACATTTCTTTCCCGACAACTTATATGAGTTACCTTGTCTCATTATCATCCAAACAATCACCCTGTGAAGCAACTTGAACTGACAGAGTCACTGGTTCAGAGCCTGCTTGGTGAGCTGTGTGGTTGAGTGGGGGCTTGAATTAAAGTCTCCCTGCATTGAATCAAGCATCTTGACCACTTTTTACTCTGGCCTTAAATGTGTGTGCCCAATGGCTTTTGTGTCTTGCTTCAAGGCCTCCCTAAAACAGTTGTCTGATAGCTGGCTAATTGGGGTGAGAACTTGGATCCTCAGCTAGGTAAAGCTTCCGTCCATTCTTGCTGGTATCACCTTGTATAATTGCTGTAAATCATCGTTGTCGTTGTCGTTGTCGTCATCGTCGTCCTCCTCCTCCTCCTCCTCCTCCTCCCCACCACCACCACCACCACCACCACCACCATCATCTGGTTATGGCCACACACTCCAGCAGACTTTGGGCAGCTTGCAAAATCCATCTTTGATTTGTCTGTGAATGATTTTTTTTGCAAACCAATTCACGTTTATCCCTTCTGTAAACAAAAAGCTTTCATATTTTTATCTTCAATGATTTCTGTTTTGTGATTTCCCAAACTGCTTTGTCAGTAACAGTTATATTGTCTGAACTAGAGCTCAGATTCGAAGAAACACATTCAGGTTGCTCTTTGTTGCAAGGATACACAAGGTCACTCAGCAGCTCTGAACTGAGGAATATATGTCTTTGTGTTCTAGGCAAGGAGGTTGGGGAGACTGTGCTGTATTTTGGCTGCCGACACGAGAAGGAGGACTACATCTACAAAGAAGAACTTGCCAAATTTGTCAAAGAAGGAGCCCTTACTCAACTCAATGTGGCTTTCTCGAGGGACCAGCCAGAAAAGGTAAGCCTGTTCTATCTAAACGTTCCACCATCAGTGGGCATTTGCATTCACTTGTCCTGTTGGGCTTGGTCTGCTTGAAAAATGGGCTGTTTGTATATTTTGTGCTTGGATAATCATCTTCTGTTGAGAAAAAAGAACCAAATATGCCCGTGTTTTCCATAATTCTAGAAAACATTGATAAAGACATTTTCCATTTCCTAAGTCATTCCCTGCTGTCAGTCTGGTTCAGCTGATTTTTGGACTAGCCATTTTTATTTTTTTCAAAAGCAGTCCTCATATCTACCTTTAAAAAAAAAAAAAAGTAGATGCCAGTCTTTATGGCGAAGGAGACACAGACGATATACGCAGCTCTTAAGGCCCCGTTGACACCCAGTTTTGTCTCTTTCAGATTTATGTGCAGCACCTGCTAAAAAAGAACAAGGAGCATGTCTGGAAGTTGATCAGCGAAGGAAACGGTCACATCTACGTGTGCGGGTAAGGATGGCAAGGCTCTTCTTGTTCACAGGTGTTCTTGCAGCAGCGAGCAGTCAGAAATTGACTTGAAAACAAGTAATTAGTAATTTTGTCCCTGGGGCAGAAGAGTTAGAAAGAAAACAGCAGTGCCGTGCTGGCTGGAAATTCTGGTATTAATATCTGAGGGTATCAGGAAAGGTTGCAAAGTATGTAAATTATCAATATGAATTTGCAGGAGAATTTGCCGAAAGCGCAAAAATATTCAAAATAATTCAAGTTAGGGAAGTGGTTGAACTTCCCTGGATATGACGACTGAATGTCAGTCAGTCTCCTAATATGGTGCCCATCTGTCTTCCCACAAACGTCAGTCTTTAACTTCATCAAGAGAAGCTTTGATTTTGTTTCAAGAAATAGCCAACTATACGTCTAAGAAGCTTTCTTATGCCATTCCAACCCAGCAGCTGACCTAGCAACTATCCATGGAGACTACAGGTCCTATCAAACTGGCTTAGTTGAAGGAATTCTGTTTCCCTGTCCCAATCAGTAGATAAATGGCACAATTTTGGGAGGAGGGAAATTCAAGTGGGGACATTTCCTAGTTCTGCCTGGAAATAAATGGGACTGAAATGGGACCTTCTGCATGCAACTGGACGTTTAGTGTGCTTGTGTCACTTAGATCTATAAAATATTATAGTCCTCACCTTGCACCTGCCCATCTTTAGATTCTGTTTTCCTCCACAGGGTTGAAAGGCAGAATTTGTCTGCACCCGAGTTCTCTGAAATTGGCAAGATGCCATTTCTCCAAGCCTGCTCATTGAGTTTTATCTCCCTTGATTTCTAGCCACTGCTCTTCACTGTCTGACTTACCCTTTACTCTCTATTTTTTTCCCTCCTTCTAGTGATGCACGCAACATGGCCCGGGATGTTCAGAATACCTTTTACGAGATTGTAGCTGAATATGGCAAGATGAACCAGCAGCAGGCTGTGGACTATGTCAAGAAATTGATGACCAAGGGCCGATACTCCTTGGATGTTTGGAGTTAGGGGGCACTTACTGCAGAAAGGAGGGGTGTCTCAGGTGGCTGGTGGAAGAGCAGGGCAAGGACTCATCATTCTGCCTCCAGGGAAGCATCTGTGCATACCTTGACTTTCTCCAGCTCCTACCCCTTCCCTGTTAGACAGGATGAATTTAGTGGGCTTTGGTTTTCTATGGCAAGATCTAATTGCATTGAGCTAGACTCTCAGAGCAGTGGAGAAATACCGGCATGTCTGTTTCTCTCTCACACTTTTTCTTTCTTTCTTTGGTTGGTAGCTGCTACAGGACATATCTGAGGGTGGGTTTCCTGCCCGTTCTTTGCCCAACAAAAAGGAACCACCCTTCTTGTCTCACAGGTATCTCTGCTTGGGTGGACATGGTGCTTAGATGACCTTGGCCCTTCAACAGTCCCATTTAGCCTGATCAACAGGCCGGGGTCTTTCTTGGGTTGCACTGAAGAATACATTTTGGCAACGATTTTCATTTTGGTCAGTAGCTAGTTGTTGGGATTCATGTGGGATAGGTGCCAGGGAAATGTCTGAAGAGGAGGCAGAAGGAATCGTTTGGAAGGCAAGGGATAGCAGCAGTGGTTTACAAGAAGGATCAGTAAAATGAAACTCTCATCTTCCTGTGTGTTAACAGGCATGTGTGGAGGGTGATGGTGGATCTAGATGCTGTGCCTCAGCATGGAGCAGAGAAGAACCTGCTTCGGGTATCTCACTTTGTTCTTCCCCTCTTGGGGGAAACTTATTTTACATGAGTGTGAGCGCTCTCCAAACCACCCTTTCCATTTCTCCCTTGCTTTGTTCCTTTGATCCTGGACTGAGGCTGATCCCAGCTCTGATGCCTGCAGTCCCGTGCTGCTCTTCTGAACCCCGATTGTACATAATTTTAAGAAGACTTGTTCTTGAAATAAAATAACCTCTGATTCTTTTGTTCTGCCTCTTCTGCCTCTGTGTGGACTTTTGCAGGGAAGGGAGACTGGAGGTTTTGCCAGCTACAAAGCCATAGCTGTAATTGTTAAAACAGCAGGTGAGGAAGCTTTGCTTCCTAAGAACCAAGCATATTTATGTATACTTTGATTATAATTTAACTCTGTAGGGCCATGCATGAGAAAATGTGTACCTTTCCCCCCAGTAGTATATTTAGTTTTGCAATTTGCTTACTATCTACAGTCAAAACTTGGATGGGAAGTGGGAGAGAAGAAAAGGAAAGGAAGTGAAAAGTTCCATTAGTGTAGTAGAGTTTGTCTGGGACTTTTTAAAGGGTATATTTCACCAGAATGCAAACACCTGCTGGTTAGAAGGTAGTGCTTCTAGCCTTAGTCACAACAATCTGGCATTTGGAGAAATGATCACCCTCCACTGGGTGATTATATTTTACCATTCTGGTGAACATCTGTGGGTAGACTGTCTTTGCCATGCTGCCTTCCTGTTAAAAAAGACATCTAAAGTCATAGCAGATTCTACAGACGCCCTGTACTTCATAGTGCTGTTTCAGGACTCAACATGCTAGGTCTAAAGTTCTGTGCCCTGACACATTTAAACATGCAAATATATTTTCTCTTGAGTATTCTTTTGCCCTTCTTGCTATTTTAATGTATTTATAAACTAACCAGTTTCACATGATTCAGCAACAAAGAAGTTATACCATCGCCAACAACCTAACCATAAATAAGTTACTTCAAAGGAGTATCACAAACAAACATGAACCGCAAAGAGAAGCAAAGGTAGGCACCCTCAGTTGGGACTGAAAGTACAATGAAATCAAGTTTTAACTCATGAATCAAAAGGATTAAATATTCTACAAGGTGCAGGTCTTAAAACTTTCAGGATCTCTCTTGACGGGTGGAGCAACTAGATAATCAATTCCAACAAAATGACATTCGATGCATCCTAGTATTTTTTTTTTAAAAAATGTTTATTTATATCCTGCCTTTACTATTTTTTACAAATAAGGTGGCAAACATAATCCAACACACCTTCCTCCTCCTATTTCCCCCATAACAACCAGCCTTTGAAGTGAGCTGGGCTGAGAGAGTGACATGCCCAAGGTCACCCAGCCAGCTTTCATGCCTACATTGGGACTAGAACTCAGTCTCCAGCTTTCTAGCTTGATGCCTTAACCATTAGACCAAACCAGTTCTCTAGGGCTTTAAACAGGGCTCCTTCCAATCACTTGTAGTCTCCCCCCACCCCCTCCTAATATCATGTATCATTATCTGGAAATGTGATGTTGATCAGTGACTAAAATGCTTAAAAGAACGTGGAAAGGGAATTCTGTATTTATCTTCCCTGTAGTATTCTTCAAAATATCAGAACAGATTTTCTCCATTGCATACAGCTAGCATCCTCCCATTCATTCTGTAACATTCATTGCAGTTCAATTTCAGCTTTACCTACCTACCTGTCTCTGCATGATATAGACTAAACCAGTAATCTTCAGCCTACCTGCCCAATGATCTTGTTCAGTGATGACAGCTGTAACCCTGCACATCTGGAAATCAACCTATGAGAAAGACTGCAATAGCAGTCTTCCCTGTGCCTTCTGTCATGGCACTTGCCTTACGGAACAGCTTCACCCCAGAAGTATGGCTGGCCCCAATTCTGGTGGTCGGTCATCAGAAAGCAGTGAAGACCCTGGCTTTTCTCTCAGGCAATGGGGCTGGGACGTTGATGGTATGGTTGAGGGATGCAAGTTTAATCGGCCTCAATGTTGCTTTAAATGTTTTAATTATATTGTGGTTTTGATTCCTGTCTGCTGCCCATAGTTCCTTCTGGTAGATGGACAGCCATATAAGCTTATTAAGACTACCTCAAGGAAAATCTGTGTGTATTAGCTTATTTTGTCTTGTGCCACATTTCTCTGTATCTACACATTAGACAAGAGGGGGACATACCAGCAAACCAGGGGATATGGGATTTGCAACATCTGTTTTCAAGGGACAGGAGAAAATCAAAACATTGCTTTAAAATATCCAAATAAAACTGCTGAAAGAAATTCCAGCGCTTTGAACAATATTTGCATTGTTAGGTTGGTGATACACAGCTCTTCCACTTCCCAAGAATCCCAGGAAAGCTCATACCTCCTGTATACCACTGTAGCCCTAGAAAAGACTAGCTAGCTATTTCTTTTTGCTGTGTTAGTTCCAAACTAGACTGGTATAACTGGCTTTGCAAATTCTTCTGAATGACCAGTCTTGGGTGAGGTTCATATGCCTTGTTGATAATGACCTGCCACTATTTAGGGCTGCCCTAAATAGAGATCAAAGATTAAGGCAACAGCCCTTTCATTAAGATAGCACCAAATCACTTAAGTAAAGGATATGCTTGCATTCAGAATAAAATCCAATGTTTCATCCATTAGAAGTCCCTTTAACCTTCCCCAACTGTGATAGGACTACAATTCCCAAGATTCCAAACCTTTGGGAAAATGCTCTCCCACACATTCCCAGAACTATCAAACTGGGGAAGACCAATTTGGAACATGTAGAAGAATGACTACCTGTACTGTGGAATCTGATGGTTGCCTTTGTCTTACAGCAGCTATCCAAAATACGATCAATGAGTCCCCTTATCCCTTAAAATGTGCTTTACCGCTATGAGGAAGCATCTGGTAACAGAATTTCTCCATATGCTATAGAAAGCAAGGGTTATAAATATTCTATTATGCAAGTTTCAAATACAAAATTGTTGGGGTTAAAAAAGTAAGATATTTGTACCACCACTTGAATACTGCCTACCGCAACAAATATGCCTGCAACAGCAATATACTTGATCATGAAAGATATGGTATCCATTTTCACAAAGAATAAGACTTTCCTTAGTCCTTCTAAAATTGGGGTAGGAACCATCTTCTCTCATTGTTGTTGACCTTCCCCTCCCAGGCGTGTAGGCAGCACTAACCAAGGCTAAGTAAGGGATGATGGGAATTTTAATCCAAAACACACAGACAGATCTGCACTGCTTAGTCTGACCCTTAGCCAACTAAGCATCTCATGCAGAGGAAACTTTTTCCATCTCCCTCTTCGGCAAGAGAAAAAATTGGGAGGAAACAAATTCCAAAGGCCAGTGAAGAAAATCTGCTACCAATCAGGCCATGCATGCTTTGGATTCACACCATTTTCAGATGTGTTTTCAGTGTAATGGGTTTCAGTGGGTCTATAAAGTTCCCTTGAAAATGGTGTGAACCCTCTTGATTGCATTTGCTGAGGTCCATAATTGGCCTACTTGTGGGATCTGGTTGCTCATTCCAGGAGCAGAATGCTAAACTAGGTTTTTAGTGTGATTCAGCAGCATTCCTAAAACATGGGATTGTAGCCTGAGACATATGAAGGTGTATGGTGCCCTCCTAATAGAACATCTGAGCTTTATGAAGTGTCTATGCGCTGTATTTAAGAATCAGTGGTTACATTCTTGAGATTCAAGAATTTTATATCCTTAACTTGGTACTATTTCCCTTGCCTAGAAGTGCCAGGGACCCAGGCTTCTCTACGTTCTTTATTTTCCAACTCCCCCCCCCCCCTTTTAATATGACAAGAATACATATTTAAAGACAACAATGCATGTTTGGATGCAGGCCAGCTTCTTCCAGTTTTAGAACCACTATACACTTAAGACAGACAAATGACAATATGGACTGAGATTGGAGGAGGCCAGGTGCCATCGCTGCTGCTGCTGCTTGCTCAGCTAACTATTATCAAATAAAGGTTATTTTCAGCTTCTCTGGCAGGATGCATCCTAGGTGCTTGTAAATCCATGTTCCAAACAAAGAGCACAGGGCAGAAGCGCTGGGTCTTTGACCCCTCAAGGGCTGAGAAGGCAACTCTGGGAGAATTACGATGAGGTGGCTGAAAGTAATCATGTCAGATTTGTCATAAAATATACATAGAGGAGGGAAATCAGGCTCTGTATTGAAGGTGTAGCTGAGAAACTGTCCCCTCCACTCATAGTAAGGAAGAAATCTAGGATAGGGGAACATTTCTGGAGATGGGGAGGAAAAAATCAACCCAGCAGAAATAGTGAGAACACTCTTTGCCCATATAATCTGCTTCCAATAATACAGTTAATGTCCTCAGTAATAAACATTAGATGGCCTAGGCTGAACCTGCTCCCTTCCTTTTCCTGTGACTCAGTTTGGGCAGACAGCCCCCTGCTTTGGAGGAAGGGTACAAAAACCATGCAGGTGTCAGCTGGGAGTTGTATCCAAGAGTCACTTGAGTTCCTCATATAGTACTTTACCCTAATCCTTGAATCTCACACCTGATTAAGTCCAGAGTTCCTTTTGGCAGCAGGAAGGCCTCAAGGCCCCACGCTAGGGGTAGAAGCACTATTCAGACGTGGTTTCATTGACATCTGTATGCAAGAGAATCACAGGGAGGCAGGAGGAAGAGGAGAACACCCAGCGTACTGTGGATCCTTCGGTCAGCAGAGTAGTAGCGTTCCCTCCAACAGTGATAACCAGGAAGGGGGAGAGGCACTTGAAGGCTCATTCCTTCTTGGTCTTCTGGAATTTCTGGTGAACAACTCGTAATGTGGTGAAGAAGTTGCCAACAAAGAGGGTGAGGAAGGGAAAGGCGCACATCAGGACCTGCCAGTGCAATTAAAATAGTCAGTGCTTACTGCTTTAAGAGGAAGAGAGCGAGAGACTCAGCAGTTCTCAAAAGGATTGGACTGCTAAAGAGAGAGATAAATTTAGCAAAACTGTCAGGAATTCTAGAGTAGAACAGGAAGAGCAGCACAAAGCATCAGAAAGGTATTTTACTATGAGTTTTAGTTCAAAGTGTTAAAGCAGCTATGTCTTTTGAGGCTTATATATTTATAAGGCTGTCCTTAGCTGTCTTTACGTGTAGATGTATAGTCACTTTAATCAGAATTTAATCAGAATAGAATACAGCTGGAAGGGACCTTGGAGGTCCTCTAGTCCAACCCCCTGCTCAAGCAGGAGACTCTATACCATTTCACTTTGATGTTTTTAGAGAAAGTGTTTTTTTTAATCCACACAATTTACTGGGAACAGCCTTGGAAGCAGCTGAATAAAAGGAGATAGCTGCTTTTAATGCTTCAAAGATGGGAGCTTTGCCCATACGAATATTCTTTGTGAAATATCTTTTTTGAATGCTTTGCACAAGCTCGATCTAAATCTGTTGGGGATGTAGCAATAATTGGAGGATCACAACTTCCTCATGCCAGCATACAGCATCATCTGAAGGCAGGCAGTAGCCCAATGACATTTGCTTACATGTTGTTTTTATACCTTCCTTTATATTTTCACATCCCAAAGAGGCAGAACAATGGATTCACTAGCACTTCTTTTTTTAGCAGACAGACTGAATGGACAACACTGGATCCTCTTTTCAGGACACCTTGTTGGCACTGTTTCATGTTATATGGCATTTCCAGTTTCTGAAATCCAGTATGTGTTTCTTATTTGCTTTGTTAATCTTCTGAAAGTTCCTCCTGCTGCCCTGCCCTACCTTTCAGTCTTGATTTTAGATTAAGATCAATTCGCACATGTCAATAAAGATTCTCCATTATCCAGCAGAGTTGTCTGAAAGTTGAGTCATGACAACTGGACTTCTTTTCTTTTTGGTTTGAAATGTCTCGCTGCTTCTCCAAGTGGCTTCTTCAGAGCAAAACTGAAGAAGATTCAGACTGAAGAAGCTACTTGGGTAAGCAGCAAAATATTTCAAATCAAAAAGAAAAGAACTCCAGTTGCCATGACTCAACTTCCAGATCAGTTCATGCATGTTGGCAGAGCCAACATGTCATCCCTACAGAGCAGCCCAGCTAACCTTAAATAAGAAACAGCTTTACACTCTACCCGATGTTGGCAGAGACAGGGATTTCCCAACCATGCCGCCCTTTGCTCAATATTTTAATTTATTTATGTGATTTATCACCACTTTAGTCTGGAAGGATTTATGACTGAAAAAGCTCATGCTCTATCATTGAGCCATGATGTCCATCATTTACAACAGGAGTTCCCAAACTCTACATGACTCTGAGTCTTAAAATAGCATGAACTCGTGGAACGCCTTCTCCCCATTGTATTAAAAACCTGAAAATGCTATAATAAAAAAATGAATTTGATTACTTTGTATAATTCTTGAAATCTAGGTTTCATTCTGAGGAAACCTACTTTCATTTTCCCAAGTCAGAAACATAAGGTAGGTGTTTTCTTGCCTGGAATCAATATCTTTTAAAATGCTATAAGCATGCCAACTACTAGCAGGCTGTAAGCGGATTGGCACACTCTCCTAGCCAGCCATGCTGAGATAACAATCCCTTTGAATTTTCTGATAACCTTCCATCCCCTGCCTGTAATCCTTTTAAAGACTGTTATTCACACTATGAGAAAAGCGGATATAACGGGCAAAGGGTTTGGGGAGGATTACTGAGAGAGTTACATGTACTTTACCGTGAGTATCACACTGGCAGCATTTAGAAGACATTTGGATATTTCTGAAAGTAATGACAAAGCTTGCAATTGATGCAACTGGGCCATGATTTTGAAAGTGTGGGAAAAGAACAGAGCATTTCCTCTTCCTGTGCCTACAAATTCGCTCTTACCTGCCATTCTTTGCATTCTGGATGGCTGGCTAGTTGGAAGAGTGTGACAGCATTGAACAGTTGCCAGAACTAGAGAGAGAGAAGATAATTGTTTTATTTGCAATATCTCAGATTCCCACCCTCAAATGTATCCCGTGAGATCACTTGCATCACCGTGAGACCACTGGTTTTCGGCAGTAGAATTGTTAGGATTTTTAGCCAAAACACTCTCTTTCAAAACTACCTGAGAATTTTCTGCTCAGATGAGCATCCCTGCCGGCCGCCCCCCCTACCCCCCACTGGAATTTCAACGTAAAAGCACAGGCTTTTTTGGCAGTTTAATTATCACAATAAAGCCTGAGAGTTTACTTGGGACAAAATGCATCTCAAAGCCAGATTATTCACATGAGTTAATCAGTGGGTGCATCTAGGAGAAAAAAAGACACATGGAACACTAGTCATACATCAAATTATTATTTCAACTACTCTTCACCTCAGTCTTTTTTTTTTTTTTTTGACACTCCCACCCTCCAGCCGTATATCAAGCACAGTGAGAAAATTAGGCAGTTCCTCCTCTAAAAGCTGGCATTTGAGATGGGGAAAAATACAATATCTCTTTAAGGAGTGCAATAGGTTTAAAACACAAAAACAGAACAAGGAATCAGATGAATTTTCTCAAACCACAAAGCATGGCAGAGTCCCCTGTACCTGCCAGTTTCTATGGCGACTTGGCACCACTGCCCTGCCCACGCTGCCCATAAGAATATTACAATCCCTTGTAACAAACTCTCACTTTGTAAATAGGTTTGGAGGGGAAGGAAGCTTGTTCCTTTAAGCATCTCACAATAATCTTCATATAACATTATTATTATGAAGTAAAAGTTCAATTCTCTAATTTACTGTGTACATTTATAAAATGAAATAAAATATGTTATTATGAAATAAACGCTTCATTGACTCTCATTTAGTCAGTTGTTTATAAACAAAGTATACATCTACCCTGAAAAAGAGCTAGTAAGAGAAAAGACAAAATATATGTAAGAACTCTACATTAGTCTAGTCTAGTCTAGTGCGGGGGTAGGCAACCTTGGCTGTTTTATGACTCATGGACTTCAACTCCCAGAATTCCTGAGCCAGGAATTCTGGGAGTTGAAGTCCACGAGTCATATAAGAGCCAAGGTTGCCTTCCCCTAGTCTAGTGGTTAAGGCACCAGTCTAGAACCTGAGAGACTGTCTAGTCCCGCCTTACATATGAAAGCAGGCCGAGTGATTCGTGGCCAGTCATTCACTCTCAGCCCAACCCACCTCACAGGGCTGTTGTTGTGAGGAAAACAGGAGGCAGGAGGAGTATTAAGTATTAAGTTTGCCACATTGAATTATTTCTAAAAAAATAATAAAAGGCAGACTATAAATAGCTAATTAAATAAACTCCCCTGAAGAAACTATTCCCCTGTCAGATCAAATAAACCTGGTTTTGTCTTGCCGAGAGTAAAGATAATCCCCAAAGAAGTGAAACACACTTACTTGGCCGAAGAAGAGGAACGGAAGCAGGAAAGTGAGGCCTCTCCACATCCAGGACTGGAAACCTTCTGCAAGGAAAAATGCACAGCCAAAGAAATCAGGCCACGGTCCAGCAGTCCCAATGGCCTCTTCAGACTGACTGGAGATGGCAATCTTTGGAAGACTTAACAGTTAACACAGACCTCTCACCTCTGCTTAGCATTGCCAAAAAAGGAAATAGAGAAGCTTAGAGACAGGCAAAACATTGTTAAAAGTCTGCCTCCGCAAGAATAAAAGGCTCAACTCTTTGAGAAGGGAAGGGTAAGCTGGTTTGAAAAGCAGTCCTACTTCCTAGTCAGATTCAGAATTTTTTTTTTTGGGTAAAATATGTAACATGACTATTAGCAATTCTCTGTTTTTTAAAAACTATACCTAGATGAGGACTCTAAAAATGTTAATATCTCTAAGCCAGAATGAAACATGATAAAAAGTCCCTTCATATCAAGCTCATCAGGTGAACTCAGAGACACTCCTATGTAATTTTCTTGGCTACGGCATGAAATAGCCGTTGCCTTATTTTGGGGTGTTTTTTCTATTTGCTAATATAGTTTACAGCCCTGGCATTCCCTTGAGATCTCCCATCCAAATATGAACTAGGCCTGATCTAAATTGATGACGCAAGCCTAAGATCTACTTCCAGTATCCAAGGCTAGGGAAAAACTGCAATTTGGAGGGATTATGGATCACACAAGCATCCTTGCAGGATGAGAACTGACGAAGCAAGCCTAGACAGAAGCTTTTGCTGTCCATATGACATTGGCCTGCTGTGGCTTCCCAGCCCTAGTATTTCACAATGATCCCACTTTTATGGCCACTATGAGCCCCCTCTTCCCCCTTTCAAAAGCCAGTGACCAGAAGAGCATCTTCTTAGGGTTGACCTCACAACCACTAGTGAAAGAAGATCCCATCCCTCACACAGGAGAGTTTGCCTCAGCAAAGGAAAAAGAGAAAGCAGAAATGCTACCTACCCACAGTGAGATCCATGGTGTGTCGTTCACCCAGAGCTCTCAGCCGGTACAGGCAACCACTCTGGTAATAATATTGAAGAAACTGGACAAAGCCTATCAAATTTCAGCAAGGGAGATCAAAATTCAGCGGAGTAACATATACACTAAGATACTGAAATTATCCATCCTTCATTGTTACTCTAAAGCAGGGGTAGGCAACCTTGGCTCTTTTATGACTTGTGGACTTCAACTCCCAGAATTCCTGAGCCAGCCAAGCTGGCTCAGGAATTCTGGGAGTTGAAGTCCACGAGTCATAAAAGAGCCAAGGTTGCCTACCCCTGCTCTAAAGTGTCCCTTAAAAGCAAAGCTCTAGTTTTCATCCATAACCTTGGGTAGTGTGGTTTTTCCTTTCTTAAAAATAAAAGCATGTCGTGTTCACAGTACTGGGGGAAAAAGCTCAAATACATTTGAGCGGCTTCAGCTATAGCGATTTGCCCTTTGCCTCACCGCCATCTCCTATGCCACTACCCTTTCATCTCAATTTCATCCCATGAGGAAGCCCTTACATAGAATTGTTTGACTGCCCCTTATTCTCATTCAAACAGAAGCCTCCCTTAGAAAATGGCATTCTATGTTCCATGTTGCAGAATTCTGGCAATGTAGCTATGAAAATAAAGGCTGCAATTTATCATTTTACTGACCCCCTGATATTTGTGGGTCTTCAACCGCTTCCCTCCTCCCTCTTCTTTAATGCAGTCCCACTTACTCTGATACATGGAGAATGTGAGGAACTGGTTTCTGAACTTCTGGTACATAAGGCCATCTGGCCTGCAAAGATAGAGGGAATGCAGAAACATACATGAAATCAGAATTCACTGACATGTGATGGACCCTGGCTATTCTCCTAGAAGGAATTAAGTAAACTCTCAGGCTATTAGTTAAAACCACTGAAATCACAAGCATTATGCTCATTTTTTTTTCTTGAAATTGCCAAGACAACTGAGATAAAGACTCACCAAGTCAGCATGACACCTGAGAGGAAGGTGGAAATGTAGTGATGAAGCACCCACCAGCCTTTAATCCTGGAAGAGCAAACATTAACCAGTTTCATTAATATTTTTCTTTTAAACACGACAGCCCAATATACTAAGACAATGTTGGCAGCTCTATTTCAGTGGTTCTCAACCTTTTTAATGCCGCGACCCCCAACCGGTCGTAAGTCGAGGACTAAACCGGTCGTAAGTCGAGGACTAAACCGGTCGTAAGTCGAGGACTAAACCGGTTGTAAGTCGAGGACTTTCCCTGCCCGGGAGCGCCGCGCATGCGTGGTTCCGCCCCCTGCGCCAGCCGAGGCGTAGCTGGCAAGCGGCAGAGACTGAGCAGGCCGACCACCAGCTGGCCCAGCTCAAGGGAGGTAAGGCACCCGCCGGAAAAGGGGGGAAAAAATGGCAGACAGCCTTGCTTGGCGACCCTTGTGAAATGGTCGATCGACCCCAAATGGGGTCGCGACCCATAGGTTGAGAACCACTGCTCTATTTGGAAGGTGCAAGGGCAGTAAGATAAGATAAGATAAGATAAGATGATAAGATAACCTTTATTGTCATTTTTTTACTGTGGGCACAACGGCACACATCAAAAATGAAATTTAGTTGCCTGCTCTCAAAGTGAAACACGTACATGACACGCCCTAAAAACATACTATATACAACATATGTATAGACCCACACCCCTACATATACATAACAAATAAATATTAAATACTGTCCATCTTGAATATATAACGGAAGGAGGAAGCTTGAGGTTAATGCTGTATAGAATGAAACTATGGCTGAATCTGGATGTTCTGCTTTGGATACCACGAAGCCTCCTCCCAGAAGGTAACAAGGAAAACAGGTCGTGAAGAGGACGTGTAGTGTCCCAGATAATCTTACGGACTCTGCTCAAGCAACGCTTCTGTGCTATGTCCTGGGTGGGAGGGAGGGGACTGCCAATGATCTTTTCGGCCATTCTCACCACTCTCTGCACCGCCTTCCTATCTGAAGCAGTGATGCTTCCAAACCAGACTGTGATGCTGTATGACAGGATGCTCTTGATCGTCCTGTAGAAAGTGGTCAGGACAGGGGAAGGAAGATGTGCTTTTCTCATGCGACGCAGAAAATGCAGGCGCTGCTGCGCCCGCTTTACCAGTTTCTCACTGTTGAGCGACCAAGCCAGCCTACTCGTTAGCTGCACACCCAGGAATTTGATGCTGGTAACCATCTCCACTGGTGAATCATTTATGCACAGAGATGTGTGGCTGTGCCTACCTTTTCTGAAATCAACAATGATCTCTTTGGTTTTTCCTGTATTTAAAACTAGGCTGTTTTCCTTACACCAGTTCACCAACTCCTCAACCTCCTTGCGGTAAGCTTCCATCTTGTCATCATGAATAAGGCCCACTACTGTTGTATCATCTGCAAACTTCACAATATGGTTGGTGGCAAACCTAGCACAACAGTCATGGGTCAACAGGGTGAACAGCAGCGGACTTAAGACGCAGCCCTGAGGAGAACCTGTGCTCAAGGAAATGGTATTAGAAGTATTTGTTCCAACTCGCACATATTGGGGCCTGTTGGTAAGAAAATCAAGAATCCAGTTGCACAAAGGAATATCTTGCACTGAATTACCCAAACACGGTGTCAATGACCATACGTTTAAGGAAAACATCTGAATTGCCTCTTGAGGAGACATACTCCCCATTCTACTCTTAAGATTGCAATGAACATCCAGGAATGATTTTCTCCACAGAAATGCTGAAGAATCTCTGCAGTCAGAACAGGAAGTGCTGTGCTAGATGGACCTGCCCCCTGACTGCATATGTAAGCCAGGGTTTTTAAGGAGATGGTTCCAAATTCAATTCCATGAATTTTAAAGCCGGACTAGGGAAGATTTTGCAGGAAAGATACAGGGAGCACTGGCTAAATATATATGTGACCTCCTTAGCTTAAGGAAGGAGAAACGCTGAACAGAAGCACTACTTACTTAGAACCATTGTTGATCAAGATGCTCTCTCGAATTGTCAGTGTGCAGTAATACCAGACCAGGAGAAAATTGAAGACAGCATCAGTTACCCTGTCATAAAAAGTGAGAAAGTGATGGGTCAATTGTAGTAATATAATTGTCTGGTGAAGTGAGTGGCTGCTTGCCAGTTTCTATCTCTGGGCTAGAGAACACGGAACGTAGAATAGGATTGGAAAGGGACCTTGGAGGTCTTTTAGCCCAAACCCTTGGCCCTGCCAAGAGATCCTATACCGTTCCAGAAAAATGACTGTCCAATCTCTTCTTAAGAACCTCCCGTACTGAAGCACCCACAACTTCTGGAGGCAACCTGTTCCACTGATTAATTGTTCTCACTGACAGAATTTTTTTCCCTTAATTCTAGGTTGGACTTCTCTTTAAAGATCAGCCAAGATCAGCTAAATCAGTGGTTCTCAACCTTTTTAATGCCGCGACCCCCAACCGGTCGTAAGTCGAGGACTAAACCGGTCGTAAGTCGAGGACTAAACCGATCGTAAGTTGAGGACTAAACTGGTTGTAAGTCGAGGACTACCCAACTGGTCGTAAGTCAAGGACTTTCCCTGCCCGGGAGCGCCACGCATGCGTGGTTCCGCCCCCTGCGCCGGCCGAGGCGTAGCTGGCAAGTGGCAGAGACGGAGCAGGCCGACCACCAGCTGGCCCAGCTCAAGGGAGGTAAGGCACCCGCCGGAAAAGGGGAAAAAAATGGCGGACAGCCTTGCTTGCCGACCCCCGTGAAATGGTTGATCGACCCCAAATGGGGTCGCGACCCATAGGTTGAGAACCGCTGAGCTAAATGCAGGTAGTCCTTGACTTACAATCAAAATTTGGGCGCTTGGCAACCAGCACATATTTACAAAGGTTGCAGCATCCCAGGGCTCTTTTGCGACCTTCCCAGGAGGCTTCCGACAAGCAAAATTAATGAGGGAAGCTGGATTCGCTTAACGACTGTGTGATTCACTTAACAACCATGACAAAAATAAGGTCGTAAATTCAGGCATGACTCAGTTAACCACTTTTGCTTAGCCACAGAAATCCTGGTCCCAATTATGGTTGTAAGTCAAGGACTATCTGTGTTATGTATGGACAAGGATCAGGGAGGCCTGGATTCTAATCCATGCTCACCCACAGAAACTCACTGGGGGAACTTTGGGCCAAGCAATCCAACCTGACACATAATGGCGTTTTGGGATGAGCACGTGCCTAAGCTTGTAAAGTTATAAAGGGTGGGGTACATAGAACAGTCAACCATTTATAGTGTACACAGTGTTACCAAGTGCCTTTTGCTGTAACACTATGGAGGGTTAACATTTTACTCCCTATGATTATTACTTCTTTACTAAAGAAACTTATATAGCTGTCCAAAGTAACTATGGGCAGTGAACAAAATTAAAACATAGGACACTAAAAACAAAATGACCATTTGAAACAATAACCAATGTAAACATAAAATGCACAATCCTCAATTAGCCATCTCATGCCAGCTCCATCAGCAACATTTCTTCCATTGCCTAAGGGAAAAACATCTTCACTACTTCACTAAACTGTTAGTCATTTTAGTTATGGTATTTCATCAATGGTGTAACAGTCCCAATTTTAAGAAGTCCCTCACCACACACATAAAAAAGAAAGCGTGAGAAAAAACTCCTCTCCCTCCATTACTGTATTCATGGTGAATCTAAGTTATCTTTCACATCCCAGAATAAGGGACAGTTGCTGTATGCTTCCTTCCCTCCAAGGAAGTGGCACCAGTCTGTTCACCTCTGCTCCAGTGATGGGAAGATTCTGCCATTTAAATAATCCTCCCTTTTAATAACAGTGGAAGTTTTGCTGGCTTTCCAAAATCTTTCTCATCTGCATAGATGATGGCAACACTGAGCTGGGTGTAAGTCCAGGTGGTAAAGAACGGGAGGGAGGTGTCACTGCTTCTACCTCTTATCACTATCAACAATTAAAGTTGGCAGCTTACAATTTTTAGCAGGTTTACATTTACTGGATGTCCAGTAAAATTAATTTCACTGTACTGAAGTGCTGCTTCCTTCAACACCTGACTGCGTTTCCAAGAAAGGAAGCCGTCTCTGCCATGCCACTTCCCAAAGTCCTCTAAGTATTGGAGTAGCAACTTCAGCTGGCTGAAAGGAAGGGGAGAGGTTGTCCAACTTTCAGGACTGTGCACTCACCTGGAGTTAAGGAGGAAGCGGCAGGTGAAGGAGACAATGAGCAAAATGATGGTGAGATAAAGCTTGAACTTCTCGTACTCATCCTTATATGCAAACCTAGATGGGGCGGCAGAGAGGGAGGGAGAATAAACCAGTTCCAACAGCCATTTGTAATCCTGGCTCCAAACTGGCTATCTTCCAAGTACCTTGTGACTGTAACTCCCCAAATCCCCAACCCTAAGAAATGGAGTTCCAACATAATCTGAAGGATGGTAGATGGAGAAGAGCTTTTGAAGCTCTTTATCTACAGGGAGTCTTCAACATATGTCTATAACTGAGTCCAGAATTACAGACACATGTCATTGCGGTTGTAAGTCGAGGCACTCACGTGACTGGAAGTAATTTTCTGGCCTTGTTTGGCAGTGGCTAAGTGAGTGCTGCAGTCAAGCACATGCCATGGTTGTTAAGCAAACCCATGCATTTAAATGGGTGGGTTTTTGCTGGAAACCGGCAGAAACATCATGAATCGCAGTTGTGTGATAGCAGAATGGCTGGAGACTGCTTTATGGGCCACAGAGAACCTATTCCATGGCTATCATAACTTTGAACAGCTGTGAATCAATTGGTCATTGAGTGAGGACTACCTGTATGGCAATGAACTATATGTCTGTGACTATAATAAATATTGATTTGATTTGAAAGCTCTTTGGAGCTTGGGACTCTGATGTCTTAAGGAACACCCTTATTCTCATATGAGCCTGCCTAGCAATGAGCTTCCAAAAACCTTCTCTAATGTGGTGTCTGGTTTTATTAAGGGAAAGCAGGAACAAGAGTTGTTAGAATGAAATGGAATGAAATACCCTCCCTGCAGGCATTAATTAAATCAATTAAATTTTACTTAGGGGAGTATAGTTCTTTTTTAAAGAATACACCTGTGTTTCACCATGCATTGTTCTGTGCCTCTGTTTATAATTAATCTGATTCTGTACAGGATCTTGGGTTACGACCATTAGGTTCAGTAACTATTCAAAGTTACAGTGGCGTTGAATAAATATTATTTACGATGGGTCCTCATAATTCTGACTGTTGCAGCATCCCCACAGTTGAACGACTGTCTTACAACGTTCCCTGTATTGGGAGAGCTGGCAGGAAGTCAGTGTCATATGAAGGCCTTGCTTAATGACCCACATGGTCCTCACTTATTGACAGCAAGAAGGGGATGCTGATCATCACTAAGCAAGGGGGTCATGTGATATTCTTCTTTACAACTGCAACACTTAGTGATAGTAGTCCCAGTCCCAAATGCTGACATAAGCCAAGTCAAAAACAACATACATATGACATATAACACCTAGCATCTTGGCTTATTTGATTGGTTTTGTGGCTTAGCATAGGAGTCCCCAACCTTTCTGGCTCCACGGACTGTAGCAGCACTGGCAGCTGCAGGGGGGGGGGGGAAAGAGGGGATGGTTTAGCATGTGCACAATGCATGCACAAATAAAGCTTTGTGCGCTCGCCCACTGCTTGCATGGACCAGTTCCCAATGGGCCACAGACCAGTATCGGTCTGCGGCCCAGGTGTTGGGGACCCCTGGCTTAGCACACTGAGAAATCTCATTTGCATATTCTGAAATTTAAAAGGGGGTTCCTGATCTGTAAAACATCTCAGCAAGGAGATAAACTATAATCAGTTAGCACCTACTTGGCTTGTTTGCTCAGCAGAGTGACGTTCACATTTCCCAGCACCAGATTCAGGTACAACCTGCAACACAACAGAAAGATGGAAAAAGTACACCTCCATAACAACAACCTGAGTCATACTAATCTCACATTCTGGGCATACTCAACATCTCAAATTAATCTTCAAGGAGTCATAATAAGTATATTGATCAGCTACCTGATTCTTTTTGACAGCAGCTATAATTAACTATAATTAGCACACAACTGACATCTGTTCTCAGAGTTACCAAGAGCTGGTGGCAGCAAGCTAACTAGAAACACCTTTGGCTATAGAATCATACTGGAATTCTGTCAGATGAAATATCTGCCTATGTTTCCACAGCCATTGGCTATAAGTAGCTAAATGGAACATCTCCTTATATTTTATTTATTAAATTTATTCGCTGCTCATCTTACTATGATGTGACTCTGGGAGACTTGCTGTTAGATAAGATTATAGTATAAAAAATAAAAACAATCAATAAATACATTAAAATGAAACAAATAGCTTAGATATGAGGTTGGTGGGAGGTATACATTAGAGTGAAAGTGGGATCTTCCACATATAGTCCTTGACTTAACAACAGTTCACTTAGTGAACTGCCCCCACCCTCTTGGCTCTTCTAAAGGCCTTAAAACTTGGTTTGACAGATGGCCTGGGACCCAGATATGAGTATGTCATCCTGGAGGTGGAATCATTAAATAAATACAGGTAGTCCTCAACTTACAACCACAATTGAGCCCAACATTTATGTTGCTAAGTGAGAAAATTGTTAAGTGAGTTTTGCCCCATTTTATGACTTTTCTTGCCACATTTAATAATAATAATAATAATAATAATAATAATAATAATAATAATAATAATAATAATAATAATAATAATAATAATAATAATAANTTGCTTCTCGTCCTGCCTTCAGGCGCCTTGGAGAATAGCTTGACTCCCTCTTCTTTGTGGCAGCCCCTGAGATATTGGAACAGCTATCATGTCCCCCCTCGTCCTTCTCTTCGAATCACTGCAGTTGTTAAGTTAGTAACACAGTTGCTAAGTGAATCTGTCATCCCTATTGACTTTGCTTATCAGAAGGTCAACATTGCAACCATCATAAATGTGAGTCTGTTGTCAAGCATCGGAATGTAAATCCCGTGACCTGCAATGGTCATAAGTGTGAAAAATGGTCATGAAGTCACTTTTTTCAGTGACGTCGTAACTTTAAATGGTCACTAAACAAACTGTTGTAAGTCAAGGACTATCTATGTTTTATCTATTTTATTGTAAGCTGCTTAAGAGTCGCATATGAAACCTAGGTGGCTATATAAATCACATAAATAATGAAGCAAACTATTCAGAGCAGAATCATTCTTATTTTCCTGTTAATTTTGGGGAATTCTGAGTTCAATCGCCTTACCCATTCTTCTTTGGCAAGTATGCTTCCATTTCAAAAAAGACATCCTGTCTCTCTTTGATCATGTTTTGCAGTTCTTCGAGAGCATCCTCGTCCTGCTCCTTGTCAGGGAGAGACTTGTACCTGTACAGGGCCGGGAAGAAGGAACCACATTTCAGAGAAGAGAGCAAGTATTGAAGCCCCCCCTTAAACTTCCAAATCCAGCATCCTAAGCTTTCAGATCCTGTTTCATAGCCTCCGAGCCTCAGCCTTGAGATTCTGCCCCCAGAATTTCACACAGGGATTTTTCTCCCAGCTTCTATGTGGAGGAGATGGAAACAGGTGAGGATCAGGGTTGGAGTCCCAAAGGTGTCATGTGTCTGATTAACGAAACACTTAAAAGGACTTTCAGGCATATTTTTTCCTAAAAGCATTTATTAAGGTTACAGAGACGTCAGTGCAGCATGGTGGAAATGCTTAGGTCTGGCTTCTCTTCCGTTAAGCATATACATTCTAAGCATTTACCCCCCCCCTTATTTTGGGGTCATGGTTCACATCTTCCAATCAACTTGGAAGATGTGATTTACTTCCAGTTTCTTTTTCCCGGGCTATCCTTATTCTCCTCCCTTTTCCCCTGTTGCCTGGTTTAACTATAAAAATACCAGACAGTTCTGCATATTGTCAAAGCAATATACAGTATTTGCAGCGTTGACAAAAGGTGCTTTTTCAAAAGGCAACTGAACTTTGTTTTCCCTTAAGGTTTTATAGATACTTTCAGAAGAAAGCCAGGAAGTATCTCCAACCATGATTTCTATGGAGATTCTCAGTCTTCCCGGTCATGGTTGTCCCAAAGGGGCTTTTTCAAAAAGGCAATTGCTAGCTTCCTGTTCCCATTTGAAGTGAACCACTGGGGTATGTCACAAAGGAACCTGCCTTATCCAAGCAGTAATGAAGAGCCTTTCCCAATACGCATTTCTGAGCATTGGTACGCTATTCTCAAAAAACTAATATCTGGCAATAGAAGGGTGTTATGAATGTACATTCAGGATATAAAGTCTGCTTCTTCCTCTTGAACGGCAAGAAATAACATGCAGATATGAAAGCTATCGGAGTCTACAATGAACATTTCCTTTGAAAGTCTTTTGTAACATCAAATTGCCAAACAGTTTAGATAAAAAAAGCTTCTAACACTCAAACTGACAACCTAATTATTACAATTCATGCAAGATTTATTTACAAACCAGCATGGCTTTAGTAGATAAGCAAATATAATGTTGCAGAAACAAAATATCTTGAAAGCACTATAGCTTATTTCAATGATCATAAATTTAATTTTAATAATAGTTAACACTGCTGCCTCAACAATCAGTCATTTTATTTTTATTTTTCCTGGTTCCCGTAAGGAGATTAACTCTTCTACCTCAAAGGCAAAGAAAGCCTCAACCTTTTATAATCTTGCTCCATTTAAAGTCTTTCTGCCGGCTGATGTGTGGATTTATTCAGAAGAAACACCCCAAATTTCTGGTTTAAACACAGACTGACACACTGCACAACATAATGTAATTAGGAGTCTCCAAACTTGGCAACTTTAAGATTTGTGGACTTCAACTCCCAGAATTCAACTTCTAGAATTCCTCAGACAGCTAATTGAAGTCCACAAGTCTTAAAGTTGCTAAATTTGGAGACCCCTGATGTAAACCATACAATGTTCAATAGTCACAAGCTTATTTAAATTAGCTCTGAAAGAAAACCAAATTTAGCTGTTTCCTCATAATTGTTAGTAAAAGGAATGTGTTTAGACATGCCCAAAGATTCATTAAATAGCATTTATCCAAACAAGGTTTAAAATCATATCATCAGTAATCCCCAGAATATAATAAGTGAGTTATACATGCCCAATTCTTACTAAATTCAAGCAAAGAAGTAAAGTGAAAGATTTCTCAATCAAGCTGGTTTTTTTTTCCAGACTGGGGGATACACTACAGTACTAGCACATGGAACAGACAAACAGAAACTTGAAAAAATTAACCCAGAAGCCAGCAATATAGTATCCCCAACCCCTGCATTAAATTGTTGTTTAAAACTGAAGTGGTCAAACTCGTAAGCTTTCAATGTTCTCACCTGAACTCTTATATAACGCGAGACAAAAATGCTAAAATCTCACCTTTTGTTGTTGTTCAATCGCTAAGTTGTGTCTGACTCTTTGCAACCCCATCAACCATAGGCCTCCCTGTCCTCCACTGTTTCCCAGAGTTTGCCCAAATTCATGTGCATTGTGTCAATGACCGCTATCTAACCATCTCATCCTCCACCGTCCCCTTCTCCTTTGCCTTCCCTCCTTCTCAACATCAGGGTCTTTTCCAATGAGTCCTCTCTTCTCATTTGGTGGCCAAAGTATTTCAGGTTCAGGTTCAGTAGCTAAAATCTCATCTAATATTAATTTATTTTCAGCATCCCACCTATCACTTGAATAGGTTGGCAGCTCCTGGCTTAATTTCTGTTCCTACCACCTTCTCCTAACTTTTGTGCTGAGACAGAAAGTGCCCAGATAGAAGCAAAGTGTGCAAGACTTTTCAATAGACTGATTTTTCGCTTTTAAATGGACTAACAAAGGAAGGAAAGAAGATAAGCTATTAAACAATTTTCAAATTTGGTTGCTCTGTGGTCTTCTTTAAATAAGGGAAGAAAAAAAGGAGTAGGTAAAGGAGCTGATGCACTTGAAGAAAAGAGAGTCAACTCAATCTCATGGTTCATAATTCAAATTTTGGCATTTAGATATAATACAAAAGTTATCTGCTTGCTCAGGAGTTAATACATATGACTTGTCCAAAAGCACCTCCACTCAGGCATTGCAAACAATATGGAATAATGACTATAAACATACTTCTTAAGAGCCAGAGAGAGCTCCTTTAGTTGCTTTTTCTGTCGTGAAATGGAGCTGGAGATGTTGCTTTGGAGCTTTGTCAGCTCTTCCAGCTTCTGTTTGTATTGCTTTTGAGTTTCCTAACAAAAACAAGAACAGAGTATCACAGCTTAGGACAGAAACTTGACGTTTTTCTACAATGCAAGTTAGTACATGCGTGGTAAATAAAAAGCTGGAAAGCTTCATCATTAATAACAGACATGGGTAGGAAGGTAGCCAGTACATTCACTTATTTCAAGCAGTTCCCAGGGTTCTTTCAAAAATCACCTCAAACTGTGATTGGTTGTGCAAGCCATAGTCTTGAGTTATCCAAAATGCTAAGTTATACACCAGCTTTTCCGAACTTGGGAACCTGCCAGATATGTGCACTTTGACTTCTAAAGTTCTCAAGTATAGAGTTCTGGGTTCTTGTTCACACATTTAGCAGGCCTCCAAACTGGGGAAAGCTGTTATAAACCATCTATTTATAAAGACAATGAATGAGTTAACACATATTAAACCATAATTTATTATATAAACCACAATACCTGGGGCCACATATAGTTTTAAGACAATTGCATCCTTCTGAAACCACAGAAACTTTAAAAAATTTCATTGTCTATTGGTATATTACAACTTGGACTTCAAGGTTCTAGTAATGACATTTTAAACTTGGAATAGCTTGAGATTGTGATACTTGAAGAACCTCTTCCAACATATACCTACCTGATCCTAAAAATCTATAATGTAGAACAGTGTTTCTCAACCTTGACAATTTAAAGGCATGTGGACTTCAACTCCCAGAATTCCACAGCCAGCAATGCTGGCTGTGGAATTCTGGGAGTTGAAGTCCACATGCCTTAAAATTATCAAGGTTGAGAAACACTGATGTAGAAGAAGCCTCCTTGCTATCCCACAGCTGGAAGAGATGTGCTATTTTGTGATACAGAAGAAAGCCTTCACTATTATGGCATCCTGGCCTTGGAATACCCTTTCCTGGATCCAAATGTCGTCCATTTGAGGCAGACAAAGACCTGACTTTTTACTCTCAAATTTGGACCTTAATAACCATCAGGTCCCATGCCTTTAAAGCAGGGCTTTTCAAACTTTTCACAGATTGTACCACTTTTAGCACATGACAATATTTGAGTACCACCAGTGCTTAGCAAGGTGTCAAAAACTTGATGATTAAAAAAAAAAAAGGGGGGGGGTTGGGGGTTTTACTGATTAGATTCATTTATTGTTATAGAAATGGCTAGTTTATAATATTATGAAAAAGTAAAAAGTTGAGGTTCAATGTTAATGCTTCCTTCTACTGCAACAGAGGAACTCTGTTCTTTTTCCCTTCTCCCCCTCATTTTCTCCCCTTTTTCCTCCCCACTGTATCCTACTATTTGCTTTTGTATTTTTGTATTTTATCCTATAATCTAATAAAATGTTACAAACTGTAGAAAAAAGTAATGGTTTTAATTTCTTCGGTGGCTGTTCCTTTGCTGAATCACTTTTCCTTTGCACTGACAAATGTATGATGAAATTATCCATGTTTATTAATATGCATCACTACCAGCTAGCTCAGGGGTTTTCAAACTTGACACTTTTAAGACTTGTGGACTTCAACTCCCAGAATTCCTAAGCCATCATAGCTGGTTGAGGAATTCTGGGAGTTGAAGTCCACAGGTCTTAAAGTTACTTAGTTTGTAGACCCCTGAGCTAGCTGGTCAGCTCTTCTTCCTCTCTCCCTCTCCTCTTCTTCCTTCCTGCCTTCTGAGTTCTCCTTCCACAGTGTAGTAAGAATGCACCCCCCAGTCCCTTCCCTGTACCCTTAAAGACACAGGAATCAAGCACAAAGCAAGAAAGGCTCACAAAAACCTCCCAGAATAAAGAAAAATTAAACTCCGGGGTTTTTTTTCTTCCTTAAGCTGCCTCAGACATCTCAGTTTAAACAGTGTAGCAAACAGGCTCAGGCAGTTGCAAAAAGTGATAACCTTAAATTAAGCCTGTTTACCTACAAAGAAAACTTGCTAAAATCCACAGACAGACTCAAGATAAGGGAGTAAAACTAATTACATTTGTTTAAAGGGATTAAACCTACGAAGCCAACACTTTGGACTCATTGCTAGCCTTTGTGAAACAGACTAAAATATTCCAATAACCAAAGCACACAAACCAAGCCTCTGAATTACAAAACGCTGTAATTACAAAACTGTATAAAAATCCTTATGGTAATCCATTCAAGCTGCCAGTTGACCAGGAACCCACTAGCTTCCGAAATAAACCCACCTCCTTTCCAACATGCTCATCTGCCGGCTTTTCATTTCATCAGTGCTGATTGCATTCTCTTGGCTGGAGAAAATGAACCAGGGAACCTTTTTTTCCAGCAACAGCTGCTTCTTCTTCCCTGTCTCCTTTTCCTCCCTGCCTGCTGAGCTCTCCTTCTACAGCTTCTTCTCTGTCCTCTAATCTTTCCTTGTTGTCTTTTTTCCCCCTTTCCCGCCAAAACCACCACCTCTCCCCCCCCCCTTTTCTTCAGTTTACCTCCAGCTCTGCGCTATTTCCAGAAGCGCCAATCAGCTGGAGCCCTGTGTTCCTGGGGCTTCTGTAGAGTCCCGACAGTCCTGCAGCTCCAGCTGCCTCTCCCTCAGGCTTAGGTCGCTTCAGCTCATTCCCCTCCCCTGCTACACTTCTCTAGGACAGTCGCATACCACCTGCCACATGCCAAAGTACCACAGGTGGTACGCATACTACTGGTTGAAAAGCCCTGCTTTAAAGAACCTCTTTGCTGTGTTTTAATAATCTAGCTTGGTTATATATTGGTTTTCTAATCTAATCATAATTCACCAAAAGGTTATTTAAATGGCAAACAAACTGAAAATATTTTAAAATAAATAAGTTACAAAATGTTAAGTCACAGACCCTGATTTATAAACTACAGTGGTTAAATTCACACAATGTACAGGTAGTCCTCAAATTATGACCACAATTGAGCTCAAAATTTTTGTTGCTAAGCAAGACAGTTATTAAGTGAGTTTTGCCCCATGTAACGATCTTTCTTGCCAGGGAATAAATGCAGTTATTAAGTTAGTAACACAGTTGTTAGGTGAATCTGGCTTCCCCATTGACTTCGCTTGTCAGAAGGTCGCAAAAGGTGATCACATGACCTCGGGACACTGTAAACCGTCATAAATATGAGTCAGTTGCCAGGCAGCTGAATTTTGATCACATTACCATGGGGATGCTGCAGTAGTCATAAGTGTGAAAAACGTTCATAAGTCTCTTTTTTCATGGCTGTTGTAACTTTGAACTGTCACTAAATGAACTGTTGTAAGTCAAGGACGCCCTATACTAAACAAACAACCCCATAATGGCTTTACAAGGTGCTTGAATCCAGGAGGTATCAAGTAGCTTATGAGCCCAAAATGGTTGACCAGAACCTTCTAAATGTTTCTCTGCTTGTGGAAAAGTGGGAAAAGAGAGAAGACGGAATTCAGGAACTGGCCCTTTTCTGATAGTGCACTGATGATGTAATATCTCTAAGCAAGACTGTACTTTGGTCTCAATGCAGAGATGTCTGCGCTTGCTTGGCAGAGCTGCAAGTACAGCCCTGTTGCTCAATTTATTGTACTTCACAAGGCTAAGGAACAACCTTTCAATCAGGATACAAGATGCAAATACAAGTCAGAATGGTGACAAAGTGAAGTCCCTCAATATTCAAGTTTCAGTGCCATCTGAAAAGGTATGTCACAACTATTGCAGAGTAACACAGGACAATTATTTGTGCTTTGTATGCAAATGTAGAAGATATCTGGACACAAAGGTCAGTAGATGTTCCGAAGTCTAGATGCAGCGATACAATATCAGATATTCCCTTACTTTCAACTGTTGTCCTTTAATGATCAGAAAGTTCTTAAGTATCCATCGAATTGCAATCTGGTACATTAAAACTGCTAGAAAAGGACAGGAACCGCCAAATCCAGAGAATTCCCTCCATTCTTGTTATTCTGCTCTGTTATTCTGTTATTCCCATCCTTGGGAATCAGAATATTCTTTTGATAAGCTGCATTATCAACAGGAAGGAAGAAACACCACCCACACATTCAAATATCATTGCAAAGTTCCTCCCTGTATCTTTACTATTTCCATGTGCACAGATCTCTTTTTCTTTAATTAAGGTGTTCTTCAATTAAGACTCCTTCAAGTCAAGCTTGACTTCAAACTATGTAGGTCTCTTGGCAATAATACAGAAGTGGTTTGTCACTGCTTTTTCTAGAATATTTTTTTCTACTTTCCAGTCTAGTCTACAGTCTTGGTGGTCTCTCATCCAAGCGCTAATCAACTCTGATCCTGCCTAATATTTTTAAGAGCAGCCAAGGTCAGCTAAAGGCTGCCACCTGTTCTGACATCTGGACTAGGATCAGGGAGATCCTATTTCAAGCCCACCCTTAATCCATTATAACTCACTGGGTAATTGGGATCATTTTTTTCCCAGCCCAACCAATTTCATAGGGTTAAAATTCCTGTATAAACTGCTTTGGGCTCCTGATGAAAGCCGGGATGTATATGTAGTAAATAAATCAATCCACCAGAAGCTAGGTTTGTACAACCAGATCTATTAAATGTCTACAAAAGCATTATCTACCAAGCCTGATTAGTGTTTTTCTGTGTTTCATTCTTGATCAGTTTCATTCCTGATCAGTGTAGTGTCCTTCTGTGTACAGCACTTTGTTTAGTGACCGTTCAAAGTTACAATGGCACTGAAAAATGTGACTTATGACCATTTTTCATAGTTACGACATTTGCAGCATCCCTGTGGTCATGTGATCAAAATTCAGATGCTTAGCAACTGTTTCATATTTATGACAGCTGCGGTGTCCCTGGGTCACACCTTTTGCGATCATCTGACAAGCAAAGTCAATGGGGAAGCCAGATTCACTTAACCAGGTTACTAACTGATCAACTGCAGTGATTCACTTAACAACTGTGGCAAGAAAAGTCATAAAATGGGGCAAAACTCACTTAACAAATGTCTCACTTAACCACAGAAATTTGGGAGCACAATTGTGGTTGTAAGTCGAGGATTACCTGTATTGCATGAACTCGGGACTCCTTGGTAACGGCAATATTTTATTTCTCAATCAAATTCATATGGCCACCCATCTCATGAAAAGTTGACTCTGAATGGTGCATAGCAATCAGATAAACCCATAAATACAACAATGATATAAAAATATAAGAATCAATATTAAAAGTTAAATATTATAAAAGCAAAATATACAAACCCCAGGCAAAGAGAGAATGGAAATATCCATCTCAATAGTGGAGCCATCTGGACATATCTCCAGATCGCTGGGACCTCCAGGCCTGGTGGCATAATCAGGTCTTGAGGGACTTCAATAGGGACAGAACTAATCTGATTTCAGCCAGAAGAATATTCCATAAGGCAGGTGCCACAGCAGAGAAGATCTGCTGCCAGGGTTCCACCAAATGTATGTTCCTCTGATGGTACCTGAATGTGCCAGGTCTAATGGGGTGGGCTGATGTAATTGGGAAGAGCCGGTCCCTCAAATAACCCAGTCCCATATCATGAAAGGCTTGAAAGGTTAAAATCAGCACCTTGAATTGAACCTAGAAATAAACTGGTAGCCAATGCAGCTCGCAGAGCAAAAGTGCAGCAGCATGTGCTGTTCTAGGAGCACACATAACTGTCTGTGTTGCTGCATTCTGTACCAGCTGAAGCTTCCAGATACTCTTCAAGGGCAGCCCCAGAGTGCATTACAGTAGTCTAAACCGAAGGTAACTAGAGCATAAGTGACTGTGAGCAGGGCTTGCCTATCCAGGAATAGGCGCAACTGGAACACAAGATGGTGTGCAAAGGCCCTCAAAGCCATGACAGCCATCCGCTCATTAAGCAGGGGCTGTGAGTCTAGGAGCAGCCCTGGATTGCACATTGGATATGTCTGGGGCAGTGCATCCCCATCCAGCACCAAAGATGGCACAATGCTGGAATCAGTGGGCCCCAAAATCAGAGTCACTCAGTGTTGTGAGGGCTCATCTGAAGCCTGTTATTCCCCATCCAGATCCCCACAGTCTGCAGGTATAATAGTATCGTAGAGTAGTATAAAAGATTCATGATATTGTTTAATTTGTTAGAGACAGAGATACATACTTGGGTATCATCAGCATGCTACAGGTAATCCTCTACTTACAACAGTTCATTTAGTGGCTGTTCGAAACTACAACAGCGCTGAAAAGAGTGACATGACGGTTTTTTACACTTACGACCAGTGCAGCATCCCCAGGGTCATGTGATCAAAATTCAGATGCTTGGCAATTGACTCATATTTATGACGGTTGCAGTGCCCTGGGGTCATGTGATCAGCTTCTGCAACTTCTGACAAGCAAAGTCAATAGGGATGACGGATTCACTTAACAACTGTGTTACTAACTTAACTGCAGTGATTCACTTAACAACTGTGGCAAGAAAGGTTGTAAAATGGGGCAAAACTCACTTAAGAAATGTCTCACTTAGCAACAGAAATTCGGGGCTCAATTGTGGTTGTTAAGTCGAAGACTACCTGTAATACAACCTCAACTCATTGCAATAAATGCGTTCCCCCAATGCCCTCATGTAGATGTTAAACAGGAGAAAGCACCAAATCGTGAGGCACCTCAAACAGTAGGGCTGAGGGCAGGACCTCCCCTCCCCAATCATCACCAACTGGAATGAGCCTGAAGAAAGGAGGTGAACTAGCACAACACTGTGCCACCCACCCCCAATACTCTGAGCTGATTGATAAAGACACTATAGTCAATTGTTGTATTTTAGACAGTCATATAATATATAAACTGAATAAAATACAACTGATGTTCTATCTACCTTTACTCCAGAGTAAACTCCAGGTGCATAAAACATCTAGAATAGATGCTGCTCTCAGTCAGGCTAGAGTCACTTTATTTAACATCTTTCCCCAAATTCTTTACCTTTCTCCTCAGTAACTCCAGTATCAATAGATCAACAATTCAAGCTTCTCAGAAACCAACTGGAGAATCAGGGGATGCTGCTTTCCCATATTCCGTGCCACACCTTTTAGACCCCATAATCAAAACCCGCCTACTTCATCCACACCTGCACAGTATTAGGATTTTTCCATAGCACCTGGAGCTCAAGCACAAACACTTCACTTTTCTCCTCACTAATAATATATGAAAAAAGAAGGACTGGAAGTCAATCTGGTTGAAAAACAGAAGATCCAGTTAATCTGGATACCTCAGCATCCTATTTTCAAGGGGTCAGCTAGATACCTCCAGGAAACTTAAAAGCTCAATTCCTCAAATGGAGATTTTAACTATCAAGATCTGCTTAGGATCACCACATATTTAATCAAGTTTTTCAAACTGTTTTGCAGAACCGTAAACACAAGAATTTGATGGGTTCTGTAAGAGAGTAAGGGGAGGAAAAGTTGTCTTGAATGTAGCTCTTTCTTGATCAGGATTTTAGATAGCTAATCACATTCCACAACCTGAAAAGTTTGAAACTAAACCATGGTTTGTTGAATAAGCACAACTGGCTGAGTCTGTATACACACAATGCAATGGTTTAGTATAATGTTCTGTGAATCTGGCCAGTATACAGAATTATATCTTCTAAATAGTGGAAAAGATTGCCAAGAAAAATGGTCAAAAATTTCAACAGAGAACTTTCAGAGGCTAGATTCTGAATTGGCAGATAAACTGTAGTTGTAAGGTTTTTTTTTTAACCTTACTAGCAGGTAATTTAGATAATTTTAGATATCCTTTGACTTTGCAATTTACAGTAGAGCAAAAGCCATCTAATAATTGCTATTATGCAACTGGTACCAGAGGTACAGTGCCCTTGATATTGATAACGTATAACCCTTTGGACTAGTAACTAATGATCGCCATGTCTTCTGTATACAGTATCTACTGCTGGATACAAGGCTGCTCCAGCCAAACATGACTATTTTGCAGAAGTCAGACTATCATTTCCACTTAAGAAACAAAACAAGAACATTCGGTCTGCAAATGCCCCCTTCAGATACAGAAAGAGATACGCAGCACACTCAGAAAACCCTTCCACCTTCACACTTGCTGAAAGCACAAGGGGAAGAAGGCATTCTTCATATGCTCCAGCAATGCTTTCCATGCACGCACAAGAAGATATAAAAACACTCTATTCTCTCTCTTCTGCTTTAATACGGCTAAATGCCGGCTAAAGAAACCCGAGCTTGTGCCCGCACGGCTCATGCCCCCCCCCACTTCGGGCCCAGGCAATCTGCACATGCTTGAAATACTCTTTTCTTCACCCGAGCGAGAAGGAGAAAACGGTCTCGCTGGCCCAATCTGAGAGGTTTTTGATTTTTTTGTTTTAAGGCGCTTTCCAACTCCGGGCTGGGAATGGAGCAGCAGCCCCGTTCCTCCAGATGATACCCGGTTGAGGAACGCCGCCCGCCACCCAGCTAGAGGCGGCCGCGGGGCTGAGCCCGGCTTCCCCGCTGGCCGCCAACAGACCCTTCCGCCCGGCTCCCTTGGTCTCCGCTCGACAACGCCCCTCCTCCGTGACGTGGCATTTCCCCCACCCCGCTCCGAAGAGCACCTGCACGAGCTGGAAGCCGTCCTGCAGCTCCTCCCAGTCCCGGAGGCAATCGGCGACCGAAGACCGGCGGTCCATGGCGACGGTGTGACGGACCGGCGGCAACCCTCCCGATGCGCCCTCCCGCACAGCGGGGGCGGAGTGGAGAAAGAGGCGGGAGCGACGTTTCGGAAGGACGGCTTCAGCCAATCCGCCAGGGCTGTCGGGGACCCGCCCGCCGAGGGCCCGGCCAATGGGCGCCGATTCGAAGCCAGCGCCGGGCGGGCAGAGTGAAGGACGACTGGGGGCGGGAGGGCGAAAGGTCGAGGAGAGAGTAGAGGCTGTGCTGTTTCCCCCCCCCCCAAGAACATAGAATAATAATAGAGCAGGAAGGGACCTTAAAGGTCTTCTAGTCCAACCCCTATACTATTTCGGACAAATGGTTGTCCAGTCTCTTCTTGAAAGCCTCCAGTGATGGAGCACCCACAATTTATGAAGGCAAGCTATTCCATTGGTTCTTTGCTCTTGCCGTTAGGAAATTTCTCCTTAGTTCAGGGGTTCTCAACCTTGGCAACTTTAAGACTTGTGGACTTCAACTCCCAGAATTCCTCAGCCAGCAAAGCTGGCTGAGGAATTCTGGGAGTTGAAATCCACAAGTCTTAAAGTTGCCAAGGTTGAGAACCCCTGCCTTAGTTCTTAGGTTCCTTCTCTCCTTGGTTAGTTTCCAACCATTGTTTCTTGTCTTGCCTTTTGGTGCTTTGGAAAATAGTTCGACCCCCTCGTCTTTGTAGGAACCCCTCAAATATTGGAACATTGCTATCATGTCTCCCTCCCCCCCAGTCCTTCTTTTCATTAGACTAGACCAGGGGTAGGCAACCTTGGCTCTTTTATGACTCGTGGACTTCGACTCCCAGAATGCTGGCTCAGGAATTCTGGGAGTTGAAGTCCACGAGTCATAAAAGAGCCAAGGTTGCCTACCCCTGGACTAGACAGACCCAATTCCTCTAGGTGTTGTTTGTATGTTTTAGCCTCCAGCCTCCTAATCATTTTTGTTGCTTCTGAGATGGTGGGTTAGACCAGCGGTTCTCAATCTGTGGGTTGTGACCCCTTTGGGGGTCGAACGACCCTTTCACAGGGGTCGCCTAAGACCATTGGAAAACACATATTTCCGATGGTCTTAGGAACCAAGACACCGCTCCTCTATCCGTCTCCGCACGGCTTCGAGCTGGGGGCCATTGCAGCGCCAGATTCGTTTCCGTCGAGCATCTCCTAAGGGAGGCTGCGCTGCTTCGCGGCCCTTTCCGTGGAGGAGGCTGAACTAAGCTCTGCCGGCGCTGTCGCCCTCTTGGCTCTCTCTCTCTCTCTCTCCCTCTCTCTCTCCCTCTCCCCGCCTGGGTGCTTCTCCAACCAGGCTGGGTGGAGCCGGCGGAGCGGCCTTCCTGCCCCCCCTCCCCGGCCAGCTGGAGCCGGGCAGGCCGGCAACCTTCGGAAGTGAGGCGAGGACAGGCGAGGCGCGCTGAGCCCCGGGCGCGGTGGGTGAGTTGGCGGCATCGGTGCGCGCTTGGAGAGCCCTTAGGGTTGGGGGTCACCACAACATGAGGAACTATATTAAAGGGTCGCGGCATTAGGAAGGTTGAGAACCACTGGGTTAGACAGTAGGATGTCAGTTATGGATGAAGTTGGACCAACTTGGTGGTCTAACTATGCTGCTAAGCCAAGGTTTGTTTAGCTATGATCGGTTACATAAGCACCCATTGGTTGGGTCCGTACAAAAGATAGACTCACTGGATCTAACTCAGCTACAGGAGAGTTCATGGACAGTCTGCTTGACAGCAATAAGAGGCTTGCTCTTTCCAGATGCTTTTTTGACCTCCCAGCCTGGCTCTCTGTCCTGTGATTTTATGCTGGTCTCTCATTCAATAGTAACCTGATCTGACCCTTTCCAGATCAGGTGAGCGGCAAACCAGGCCATTATTTGTGTCACCAGTGTTCAAAGTCACAGAAGTGTTTTACGTCACTGGGGGAAACTATGAGAGAACTCTTTGCAAACAACTTCCTCTTATGCTTTAAAAATCATTTTTTTAAAGTGATCAGAAATATGACCATTTTTAAATGATCCATGCTGATTTGCTTCTTGCCACAGCTGTTTTTGGTGCAACATTTGTTATTGCTTCTTTTTAGTTCCCTTCGGATGTAAACAGCGTTTCCATCACAACAGGGTGAGAGTTGTTGGAGCAGGTGATATAATTGTGGGAGGCATTTTTAGTTTTGTGCAATTTGCTGCCTAGTTACTTGGGTGGGGGGAGATTCTAACTGCCACAAACAAGCTTGAGAGCCACATGCAATCTGCAGACTGTCTAAGTATTGCTTAGGAAATTGTTAGCCTAGCCAAGTTCTTCCAACCTTCATAATAAAACTGTCATGCAGCACATGATTATGTCCTTGATGTGGTATTAGAACCATGTGGGTCATTTCCCCTGCTGCCAGCTGACTGGCAAGCATCTCAGGCATCATGCTATTGGTTGATTGTTCCATACATGTGTTTTGCTTTTTCTGAACTCTAAAGCTGATTGTTGTTGAGCTGAGACCATGACTTTGCTATCTGGATTAGTTCTTCGGCGCTAAAAGTTAGAAGCTAGGGAAGCCTTTCTACTAACAACGTCCCAATGCATAGATAGGAGTATCAAGATGTTACTGGTGTGTAAGGCAAAGGAAAATATGACTTGCTTGCTTGGAGGTTGGGTCACATGGATTATCAGAGATTATTCAAGTAGTTTGCTTATGCGGGATTCCCCTTCATTTCTAATATACCTGTGTGAGATTTCTGGTTTATCTCCTGAGGCAATCATATTCTACAGGACTCCCTGTAAGGGATTACTCTATTAAGGCTCCTAATGGAACCCAAATAACCCTAGTAGAGCTCAGTAAATATTTAACTGGAACTTAAAAATATATATATTATGTCTCATAATATTGACTTGTGATGTTGCCCCAAATGGTACTGTGTAGAATCTTTATAAAGTTGGAGTAACCATCAACTTGTATTACTCCCTCTTTTGCCTATGGTGTAATAGCTGAGAACCCAAATACCAAAAAGATGGCAGGAGCTTTTACTCCTCATTCCCTCTGGTAAGGCATAATGCACATTGCCTGTTTCCTAACTCGAGTCTATGTGCTGATGGTGTGCTTGCAACTTTTATTTATTTATTTATTTAATTTTTATACCACCCATCTCCCCTGAGAGGTGACTTTGGGCAGCTTACAAATAGAAAAATAGAAACAAATAGAAAAATAATTAAAATATAACATTAAAACTTCACAGATTCAGATGTTAAAACTATACAGAAACCAGGACTAAGAGATGGGATGGGGATGAGGACTTCTCATCAACCACCTTGAGCAGTGAGCGCCTCCCTGGGGGCCCCAGACCAACTGGCAAAGCCACGTTTTAATATCCTCCTGGAAGGCCAAAAGGGTGGGAGCAGTTCTCATCTCCGGTGATAGTGTTCCATAAGGATGGGCTACAACTTTCCTTGATCTGTAGCTGGAAACAGATTTTTGGTGGAAGTGTCCTGTTTGGGGAACAGCATTTTGGATGTCTGAAAGTTTATTCTGTAGAATATGTTTCTGACCCTGACAAACAAGCTCATGAAAAAGAAAAACATAATGAAGCTGCCGATCAGTAATTTGGTTCTGAAATGTCAGTGATGGCAGTTATATAGATCCGTTGTTCCCAATCTGATAGCTGTTTCACAAATGCTCGATTGGGCCGCATGTTATTTTTACATTTTTGGACGTAATTCCAAGCGTTCTGTGAAGAAAGGTATAAAAGGCAAAGATCAGAAGCAGGGAAAATATTTGAGGAAAGCCCCAAGAATCTTGGGGGAATAGAAAACTTGCATTGTAATATGTGTTCATAGAGTCACAGTCATCTAAACACATAATCAGGGGAAGGTTCTCTGTAACTTCATGGTGGAATACATGCTTCATCTGCCAAAACCCTAGGTTCAGTTCTTGATACATCAGTTGAAACTTCACCACTTTTATAAACTAGCCATGGCTAGTTTATAATATTTTGTAAAAAGTATAATATTTTGTAAAAGTAAAAAGTTGAGGTTTGAAGTTGATACTCTATTGCACCAAAGGAAGTCGGAAGTCAATGCCTTTTTTTCCTTTTTTTCTCCCTTACCTCACATCTCTACTCCCCTTACCCGTCGCCATCTTTTCCGCTATTTGCTTTTGTATTTCCATTATAAACTAACTAGCTGTACCCGGCCACGCGTTGCTGTGGCTCAGTCTGGTTAAATGGAAAAGAAAGAAAAGAGAAAGCGCACGTTTCTAATATGTTTAATTTCACAATGCTTGTGGGTATACAATATTTTTTGTTGTTCCATTGTCTGTGCATCAATTCCAACGTAATGTCACATGAAATAATTAAATCAAAATGAAAATAAATCGAAATCTATGAAAATTCAATTTAACAATGCAATCGGAAACATTGAAATGGAATCATAAAATTGGAAATTTGGAAATCGTAAATGGATCGTAAATCGGAAACATTGAAATGGAATGGTAAAATCGTAGAGTGTGTTGCTTTTACGTCCAACAGATGGCGGTGTTTTTTAAAAAAAGCATGTTTTTACCTGTCACAGGTGTGACATCTATATAATATAGGTATATAAAAACACGCACGTATTCGAATGCAACGTTGTGTCAAAATTTTAAAGCAATCGGTGAAGAACTTTCGGAGATTTAAGATTTGAACAAACGAACATTTACATTTTTATTTATATAGATAAAACTTTCTAAATAGCAAGAAACTTCACCGCTTTTTATATATATACAGTACACAATAAAAGGTGCAGGGCTTCAGCCATGCATACCATGTTGTTTTTGTTGACTGCCTCTAAAGACACCTTTGGAGCTATAAGTAGGTAACACAACCACGCTTTAACTCGCCATATTTTTCATTCTCATTTTCTAGCTAAAAGTCAGGTAGCAAGTGATGGGAAGATCTCCTTGCTTAAGCCTTTGGGGAGCCACTGGCAATTACAGTAGACCAATATTAAGCAAAATGGACCAAAAAGACAGACTCAGTATAAGACACTAATAATGTGAGGCACTTTAAAATAAAAATGATTCATGTTCTAACTTGGGTATAAAGCAGTGGTGGGATTCAGATATGTGAACAACTGGTTCTCTGTGTGGATGCCACTTCCAGAAGTCCATTCTGGACCTGGGCAACAAAAAATTAGCTACCGGTTCTGCCAAAGTGATGCGAACCGGCTGAATCCCACCACTGGCATAAAGGCCACTATAACATCTTTGGTTTCGCATTCTGTTTTTAGAACTGCCTAAATTGGTTACCATCAAACTCAGTTTGACAGTAGAAAATTTACAAGCAATGTAGGTTTCTGTTCCAAGAATCTTACAGTTGAAAACTCACACACACACACACACACAAAAACCCAATAGAGAATGGAAGAAAAATTTGGACAAAAAGATATCTGAGAATAACATATGATGAGTGCAGCCTCATGAATGCTCAGCATAATGGCAAAACATGTTAGGGATGGGGAGAGCTAACATTAGTGTATGATAGCCTCTCCCTACTTGTGTCCTCCAGATGTTTGGGAGGTCACAATCCTAGTGTATCCAGAGAGCACCTAATAGGAAAGTTTGTCACAGGTTATCAACTACGCTCACCTTCAAGTAAAGCTTGCAAGAATGGATAAGATACGCCATCACTGCTGTGCTACACCTGCTTATTCCAAAAGTGGAGAAGACCAAGACCGCTCCTTTATGGACGTGAGCATCTAAACAAAGAAATAATTTTGCATTTTTTCATTAAGAGTTTGAGGGCAATAAATTCTACAGAAGAACAGTTAATTTTTCTTTTTACAGTTTTAATCCTGATGCCAATTTATGTGGGAAAATTGTGAGAGACGATTGGGCCAAATGTGAATTCTTCAAGTTTAAGCTCATTCATTTAAGTCCAGTAGGAGGTCCCACTGATATCAATGAGAGTTATTTTCTGTCTCAAGGTATATAACAGCTATGGGAAGGCATGGAATTATGGCCCAGGGGACTTTAGGGCCTACTTGCCAATGCGCAGATTACATATTCCAATGGAAAATGAAGTCTATTATCTAGGGAACTAAAAGATTTGAACTGACACCATGAGTTCTCTAAACAAAAGGAATTTAAAAAAACACTACTGTATAAATATAGTTGGAAAACCAGTTTGGTGTACTGTAGTGGTTAAAACACCAGGCTAGAAACCACGAAACTGAGTTCTAATCCTGCCTTTGGCATTGAGTCAGCTCGGTGACCTTGGGCTAGTCTCTCCCAGGCCAAGGAAGGAGGCAGTGGCAAACAACTTCTGAAAAACTTTACCAAGAAACAGTAGCGCACAAGACAATGATGATTTCTATATATGTTCTCTAGATGGACATATCTGGATATTTATGTCTGGATATTTCAATAAAAATGCAGGCATAAGTTACACTCTGCAAATCAATAAGCAAAAGGATCAAATTTACACTGATCGGCACATATCTATTCAGAAGCCATCTTGCCTCAGCAAGTGGTCTATATTCATATTTTCCTCTGTTCTCCTTAGAGAAGGTAAGTCAAGTGGTTGCTCTTTTCCTGATGCTGGAAAAAGATGCAGCTGCTTTAAGGAGTTGCAGACAGGTGCTAATTATGTGCTGTAGCATCCTTTTGCTTTTTTTTGTCCACATTACCTCTTAGCCTGCTCTATCTCACAATTTTAGATGATCCCTAAATGTTCAGCTGGCACCAGAAATCTGGGGTTTCTCTATTATAGGGTTGTGATTGTGACAGGATCAACAGCAGTCTGAACCAGCTAAACCACAGATTCTTTTTTACTGTTCTGACTTCATGACAATTTGGAATTTAGGATCAGGAATTTTGGACTATATTAATCATCATTAATTCATGCCATTCCATGATCTTTTCTTTTAGTCCAAATCAGTATTTCTCAACCTCAGCAATTTTGAGTAGACTTCAGTTCCCAGAATTCTCTAGTCTAGCCAGTATGGCTGGCTGGGGAATTCTGGTAGTTGAAGTCCACTTATGGACTTCCCTCAAGAAATTCAATCTGAAGGCTTTTAACAATCCTGTCTCTTTAGCAGGGATGAGATGAGGTGAAATGATGAAAAGATTGAATATACAGAATAAATAGGTAAAAAAGAGTTTGTGGCTATATACTTGCCCTCTGGACTGGGGGGGAGGAGAATACCACTAGAGTCTACTTACCAATAAAGTGACAAATGTTGCTGAAGTCAGAAAATAAATCTGCCTCCAGAGAATCAGGAATAGGAATATGAAGGAGATTTTCTCTGTCTTCAAGGAAGCTGGGAAAAAGATATGATCTGCTTAAAAGCATGCAAAATTGAATCAGTCCATAATCATCACATTATAATTGTTTAGCATTGGAGTAGTTCAAATTTGTTTAGGTATAAAACTCATAGGATGGTCTTCAGTCAATCATTCTCAAACTGGCCTAATTCATGGAGTTGTTTGAAAAGATAATGTGGTGGAAACTATATATACTGTAAGCTATTAAGGACGTGTAATTTAAAAAATACAACAGAGTTTGAAAAATGGGCAAGGAATCATAGGTAATCTAAGTCTATATTTTTATAGATCTATTCTCATTGTGCAGGGGATACAAATTGCCTAGAGTCTTTAAATGGGATGTATGCCTTCTTAAAATCTGAATATGGAATCAAAGGATGCCTTCAGGCTGAGGGGATTTCCAATCACCTACCCACTTCTATCAGATATTGAGGTAGACAATGTTTGGCTGATAAGAAATCCACATTTTTGACTTCCAGTTCCGGATCGCGGCGTGTCTAGCCGTACGAAGAGACTCGTCTCCTCGTCTCCTCGTCAGCTAGCTTCCCTCCACCGGTAGACCCTTATGCGGGTCGAAGGTCGTCCTGGAGGGTGCGACTACCGTCGAGGAGGCTGTGCTCGGCTGCGGAGGAGCAGTGGCTCCTCCAGCTGTCCGAGCTAACTCCTCTCGCTATTCTGACTTTTCCTGTAAAGAGTTCCTGACTATTTCCCTTTTCTAAGAAAGCGGCAGCTGCCTATACAGGAAAGAGAGCTAAAAAGAAAAAGATTAATAATTTTTTTTTTTTTTTAGGTTGTTTTTTCTACTATTGGACTTTTTTGGGGGGGATTTTAGGGGAAAAAGAAGAAGAAAGGGACATTGTTACTTTGTTTTTTTTTTTCAATTTGATAATCCTCTCTTGTTAACCTTTTAAAAAAAAGAGAGAAAACTTTTTTTTCTTTTCTTTAACTTTATTAATTTGGAAAAAAAGACTTTATAGTCCACTGAGGACATCTGGTGGTGAAAAGCAAAATTGTAACTGTACTTCTCCCTGTTATTTGAAGAGGGATTGGATTTTCATATGATAATAAAAGAGAAAAGATAACTTGACAGCTGTGGTGAAGCTGGCTATTAGACCTTTGGAGGCGGACATTTGTGGATCTTTTTCAAATATAGTCTCTAATAAGGGAATAGGCTAATCTACCACCAAAATGGATGAAAGTTATCCACATCTTGACTATGATTTAATACTGGAAAAAATATTAGAACTTACAGAAGACTTCAAAACTTATTGGAAACCTTGGAGAAAACTTAAAGAGGCTACCTTGGAACCTCACATCGACTCTCCAATAATGAATCAAGTTATGGAACAAGGAATAATAGAAGATGAACTGAGTAATCCTGAACAGGCCTTTACACATCAAGACATACAATTCAAAGAGACAGAGACACTATGCTTACAACCCAATTGTGAATCTATACTGGGAGAAAATGTGGAAACCACTGAGCCAACTAATTCCACACAACGTTACCTACAACTGATGGATAATTTTGATGACCAAGAAGTAACTGCAATTGACTCAGTTCAATTATTAAAAATAACAAAGATTGATATTCAGACACAACCCTCTGGAAAATACAATAAAGCGGATAATTTATTTATAACCATAACATCGAGTAAAAGTCAATATAATACTCAGATGATATTGGCAGAAAGGGAAGAAAATTTTGTTCAGTTTGAATTGATTAGAAATTTTTGTAATCAAATCTTGAGGTTTGATAACCGAAAAGCTTTAATATGGGAACCAACTTGGCATAGAAAGAAAGCTAGAGTCAGGTTTAAACATGACATAAAATGTTATTTGATGGGTTAAAAAGGCTTTAGAGATTTTCTCTGATTTAACAACGAATGAAGGATGTGGATTTACTGTTATTATAGTTGATAAGTATTTGAGGGAGTAAACCTTTTTAGGGGGTAAAAAGACTTTATAGATGTAGATTGATGAAATGATAGAATATATTTTTTAAAAATAGAAATGTATTTTTTGGACTTACATTATTATTATAAATATGATAACTATGTTGTAATAGAGAGAGAGGAAGAGCTATTTGTGATAGGGAAAAAATCTATCTCAATGAATGACCTATTATTAAGGATACCTGAAATCCCAACTATATGTTTACTAAAACGTAATTGGAATATGACAACTCTAATTAGTAAAGTTTAAAAACAGGATATAGATTATTATAATCGCATGTGATTGATGATTTCTGTTTGATTGAACTTTACCTAAAACTGTATTAATTTTAATAAGCAATATTATATTTAGGAAATAGAGAGGAAATTTTTGATAATTAATTTGAGCTATACTTATATGATTTTGTCTTTGAATGACTTGACACCCTGACCACCACGTTGTGTCCTAAGCTGGGAAAAAATGGAAAAAACCAATAAAACTTTTTATAAAAAAAAAAAAGAAATCCACATTTTTTAGGGTGACTGAAGGCCACTGCAAGCTGGTTTTCTTTCTTCCAGGTATGTTTTGGATGGAAATATTAAAAACAATATTAAGCCTACTCTAGGTTTTTCATTTATAAATTCTGTATGTCTGCCACTGCACATTGATAAAAAATTGCACCTTTAAAAAAAATATCAAGTGCTAAAATTCAGTGGCATGACTGGAAATGGCCTTACAATATCCAGGACTAAAATAATGCACGGGAAGGTAACTATTGTGATTTCTCTTACAAGACTGGAAGAGTGGGGAGTGCTGAATTGTCTCCAGTATACTATTATTGGGAGCTGCATACTCACAATGTGCCAGCTTCCTCACAGATATTAATGTGAGCCTTGATTTTCAGATCCTTCTGAATCTGGCTGTCACAGGCTTGCACATAGTTTCCCATGTACAGCTTAGCCGGCAAGATTTCTGCTGGATAGGGCTTAAAGGCTTCCAATTCCTGTGGGGGAGGGGACAGATTACCCAATGAAAATACAGTACTTACGGTATTCAAAGTCACTGTTGAATCAAATTCAGGTTCAGGGAGCTAAAATCAATATGGCCATTTTCAAGATCCTCTTGATCGCAAGGGATGTGTGTGTCACTGAGTGATTAAACTTCACATCTCAAATCCAATGAAGTTTAGAACCTTACAGGCTGTGGACCACTGAAAACGAGTCTCCTTGAACTCAATGATGCCTACTTCTCATAGACAAATGGAAAGCAGGCAGTGTGAGTTTAGCTAGAAGAGAACTCTCAAGTATATAAAGATTTAACATTCACAAGAGAATATTACAGGGATAGTTCTTAAATAAAAATGCAAGGATCCTTTAAAAATATCCAACAGGAATAAACTGATGCCATAAACTTTCTAAAGAGGAAGGACTCTGGGTTGTCTGTTTCAAATGCCTACTGGATCTGGGAAGCTTTTGCTACTTAAGGAAAAGAGAAGGAACGCAGAGTTCAAACACTCCTGAATAATAAAAATCTAGCCTCTGCTGAGAGAGAAGATCTGAGCCTACACTCACTGTGCAGACATGCTGAGCAGAACTCTTCAAATAGTTTTAAGCAGGACTGATAAAAACATTAGGGAATAATAGAGATGGAAAGAGTATGTTGGGTATCAAATGCTAGACATAATTCTTACAAAACTTTGGGGTGCAATCTACCTACTTAGGGAGAGACTCTTTTGAACAATACTTGCTTTTCAGCTAATGCTACAGGAACATGAACCACCCAATCATCGCTTTATTCAATATTATAAGCTAAGCCTTAGAGAATGCAGTCTGCTTTATAGAAGAACAAGAGTCCTCATCCAAAATTCTGAACTTATTTTTATGGACACGAATCTCCCATCTGTACCTACTTTTCTTGACATTAACATCTTTTGCATGTTTGTAATGTACACATTTTGTATATGCCTTTCCCTAATATTTACATCCTGATATACATTTGGATTGTAAGATGCATCATAAAGTTCTGAAAATATGGCTTCCTATACAATAACTCTTTCCAATCTGCACACAGAGTTGTGAAGTGAATATTTAGTATGATTACATATAAGTTTGAACATTTCCATAATAATATGTTTGTCAAAAAAAATAATAATACTCCAGGTGAAATTTTGTGACTACTTGAAGAGCTGGGAAAGAATTTTCCCAAATTGCTAAAAATACCACAAGACCAAGATCAAGCTAATTCCAAATCAAGTTGGTGTGAGTCTGGAAGCCACTAGGCTGGAGAACAATTCTAGAAGGGATTAGAAAGGAAGAGCAACTAAGAAACAAGCGGTTTCCAAGATTCTCAAAATAAGCACAGAGAAGAACAGACAAAGAACCATCAGGGACTACCGACATTTGCTTCTTCTGAGGCTTTCAACAACTAACTGGAACATCAAAGAAGAGGGTTGTAGTTTCCCACCACAAGATGGCTATATATGTGGGTGTGCATAGGTACCTGAGGTTTCCCACTGCCAATTTATTAATAAAAAAAAATAATACTCCTTTGACTTGAAGAAAAAAAAAGGGAAAATCTTGAAGTATAAGGAGAAAACCTGCTCTTTCCTCTATGGTGTTTGTCGTACTTGAGGCATCCAAAATATCTTTTGGGTCCGGAGATAATGGTAGGAGGCTGTAAAGAGTTCGTAGCCGCCTCTTAAGATCATGACTGGAAAGCGGGTAAGGCGTTGCATAATCCTTGCACAGCGAGCTGCAGAGCCTTCTTTAGCATCTAGAATCAGATCATTTGGAAAGGAAAGTGTTGGTACAAAATATTTATTAATTTGTGGCATGGGCTCCAATAAGTCCATCCCATTTGTTATTAGATTTCTGTATTACGTATATATTCCCCTATTCATTACAATATGTTCCAAGTTCTGCCTCTTAAAAGCAATGCCTCTTTCTATATGTCACTCCATTGTTTTTTCCCTAGTATTTATTTAAATGACTTATAACAATGGCTAAAGCACTTACACTTATATACTGCTTCATGGTGCTTTACAGCCCTCTCTAAGCAGTTTACAGAGTCAACAATCTGGATCCTCATTTTACCGACCTCAGAAGGATGGAAAGCTGAGTCACCCTTGAGCCGGTCAGGATCAAACTGCTGGCAGTTGGCAGAATTAGCCTGCAGTGCTGCATTCTATAAGGCCACACATCTCACAGCAATGGCTGTATTAACCATGTTATTAATATTTAACTATATGAGTTTAGCCAGTCATTTTTTGTTCTGGGCTGCAAAATCTACCCCCACCCACCCACCCAAAGGCTGGAAAGGAAGGTACTTCTATGGCAGACACACGTCAAGGAGTAGTGGATTTATCTACACCCTTACACCCCATTTACATGAACAAGTGATTTGCCTCTATAATGATAACAAAAAACGTACTATATTCAGAGGATGGTTTCTTTCTTAATTCCCTTATGTCAATTCCTGTGTCAAATGCTAGACGGAGAGAAGAAGAAACAAAAAGATTTAACACGGGGTTTTGAAACTGTTATTGCAGGATACAGAAGCATTTCCCCATTTTAGAAGTTCCCATGCACAACATTTGCTGCAGTAGACTGGCTCAGTTCAGCAGCCTCAGGTGGAGTAAGGCATCAGCTTGATGTACTGTAATTAAGCCTTTGATGATCTGGTCTCAGACTGCCAGGAGCCCAACAGTCATGGTGGCTGGGAATTCTAGATACTAATTCCAGTACACCTAATCATCACCAAATTTAATGAGAATGAGAAATTTTGGAGCGTCACTCTAGAGTGAGCCAAGCCTTAGCAAACTATCCTGCCTCCTTAGTTTTGAAAAAAAGAGGAATGGTACGTGTTAGTTCTGTATCCACTTCAAGTAGATCATAATCCATGTTAAAAGCCGCATCCACAGACTCCGTTTTGCCATCATATACTATACAGTATCGTACACATTCCAGATTGATGGATTGAGGCACCAAGTATTTGCCCAATGGATTCTTTAAAACAAACAGACAAAGGTAAATTAAGTAGCACCAAATACAGATACTAAAGAATGGAGTGTGGTATTTCTGTGGTGGATCCTAAGGAAGTTAACCTAACCCCAACAGAAATATCCAAGATATGGTCCCGTTCTTATAAAGTAAAACTGATTTTGAAATCTTCAGCTGTGAAATAGCCCTTTCCTTATAAATGGTGACATTGAAATGTCCAACTGTGTGTTGGAGAAGATGAGATCAATTTTAGGGTAGAGATAATGGCTCCCAAAGAATCTTGCCATGGGGTCATGCTTGCTAGGGCTAATATGGATTGGTTAAAAATATTTGAAGAAAACGTGCAACCTGTTTTAGGATGCACAGCTAGTCCTCGAGTTACGAGTGTAATGGAGCCTGCCCATTCCACTGGTAAATCAAAAACTTGTAGAGTGAATCTCGTTCGAGGTACGAGATCACTCCCTTTCTTGTTAAAACACACACAGCTCGTTAAGCGAACATGAGGTATCTCAGGGTGGGGAAGGCCATGGAGGGCCTAGTGCTGGAACAGGCTTCCAAGGCCTCCCCGACCCACTAAGATACCGCATACTTCCCCTTCCCTTCCTGTTGCACCAGACTCACCTGGAAAAGATCCGTCTCCTTTCTGCTGCGGTTCCAACTGCTGCCCGGAGGCCATCTGGAGCCCCGATCCAGCCTCGAGACACACAGAAGCGTCCCCCAGTTTCGGTTCTGTTCTCAACAGAGGCCTAAAGTACCACGAGATCACGCGAGATCAGTAGCGTGAGATCTCGCCCCACTGATCTCGCGTGATCTTGAGTTACTTTAGGCCTACATTGTCTGCGAACATACCAAAGGTTTGGAGCAGCCAAGAAAGCGAAGGATCTTGATCTTCGCAGGATGAGTATTGAAGGCCTGGTGCCTAGGGAGGCCCGGGCGGGGGTGGGGAGGGAGAGAATAACCAGGGTGAATGTTGCAGAGCCACTGTGATCACTCGTAAGGGTGAACGACTGCCGTGGTACTGCAATATTCGTAACTTCAGGACTTGCTTGTAAGCACTAGGGGGCGCTCATCACGTAACTTTGAATTAGTGTTAAGTGAACGCTCGTAACTCGGGGATTACCTGTACATTCATTTTCTCATTTTGAATATTACCCTATATCACAAGAAAGATAGTCCTCGGGATTTTTTATTTACACCCCCCCGGGTTTTGAGCCCTGGTGGCGCAGTGGTTAGAATGCAGTATTGCAGGCTACTTCTGCCCACAGTCTGGAGTTTGAGCCTGACAGGCCTCAAGGTTAACTCAGCCTTCCATCCTTCAGAGGTTATAAAATGGGGAACCAAATTGTTGGAGGGGGTGATATACTGACATTGTAAATCAATCAGAGAGTGCTATAAAAGCACTATGAAGCAGTGTTTAAATCTAAGTGCTACTGCTATTACTATTTTGAAGAAAATGGATATTACTAATGTTTAAGACTCTTATTATAATGTTTGTTTTTTTTGTCTCAATATGCCAAGAAACTATACCACTGTTTGTCACATATGGGTATTGGTGTGGGCAGATGTTATAGCTACCTCAAAATTATAGCTACCCCAAATGTTCAATGCTACTTTATGGAACAACAGGTTCCCCAAGAACCATTGACTGCTGTATTCAAAACAAACAAATTTCTAGTCTAGCATGAATCTGCCTTGCCAATTAAGAACAGTTTTAGAACCATTCTGAATCCTGACCCTAATCCTTCCTTCAAAAACAAGCCATCAAAATCAAATTATATGATTCTAAATTAAAGATTTTCACTTTCAAAAATCAAAGGAAGGGTTTTCAACTTAAAATACTTTAGAATGGTTTCAGATTACTAATAGAACAGTACTGGTAATGTTGAGAAGTACATTCAAGAATGAAACAGGGCTTTTAAAGGTTGTATTTGTTTTGATTTCAAAACACTTCACATCACTAGTCCAAATGTTGGAACACAATTACCCAGAGATCTGGTTTCTTCCTACTTGCCTTCTACGCACCAAGCCAAGTCTACTCTATTTTCTTGCACATTTATGCCAATACATTGAAGAATGAGATTGTTTCTGTTATGTTTACTCTTTTATTGTTGTGTTATGCAATGTATATTTACAAAGAAACAAGCCCCATTTTGTCTGATAGGGTTACATCAGGATAAATGTGCATAGGCTGGCATAAAGGTAGAGTATGACCATAAAAGCAACAGCTAATTTCTTTCCATACATATTGGCAAAGAAAATTAATAATTTCTAGCAATTAAAAAAATCTCTGCATGGTTGCTATCCTTCATTTTGGGTATATGAGAAGATTAAAAATCAAAGACCTCTCCAGAAATAAACTCACTGTTTTGACTCGTATTGCTGTCATTAAGTGGCTTTCATTATATTCCCTCTTGGTACGAGCATCTGAAAGTAAAACAAGAAAAAAGAACATATATTTATATGAAATCTACAAGTATAAATCTATACTGAACTCTATATGAATAGAAGAGAAGAGAACAGAATAAAAGTAGAGTAGAATAGAATAACAGTTAGAAGGGACCTTGTAGGTCATCTAGTCCAACCCCCTGCCCAAGCAGGAGTCTCTACATCTTTTCTGACAAATGGCAGTACAGTCTCTTCTTGAAAGCCTCCAGTGATGAAGCAACAACAAGAGGGACAGTGAAAAGTAGTGTTAAAGTGCTGAACCAGGAATGGCCCAGGAAACCACCAGGGTGACCTTGGAATGTTTATTATATTTATGCTAATCTGCTGCAGATGTTCTAAAGAGATAGGGTTAGCATCATAACTCTAAGTCCACCAACTTGCCAATTTTTAAATCTTCCCATCCCTACTCCAAACATTTGTGGGTGCTAGAGAAATCTTCAGGAGAGACTCAAGTTCTAATCCATTCCAGGGAAGTTCATTGGGTGACTTTGAATAAACCATTCTCTCTCAGCCTATCTTATTTTTCAGGATTGGTTTGCTGAAGAAAAATAGGAGGACAGAACATATATATGCTCCTGAATGAAAGTCAAGATATAAAGGTAATAAATAAATAAAATAAATATGGTCTCAGTTGGTAAGAACCTCAAGTGCAGCTGATCAAATTTAGTCCCAAAGCTAGGGCATTGTCTTCAAGGATTTGCTAAAGGATCAAGTGATGATAGCTTTGTACACAACTAGCTCATAGTTCTAGCAACACTCAAACAGTAATATACACTTATACAGGATTTATATGAAAGAGTTTTTAAAATTGAAAACATAGCAATGGCATCTGCAACAAGGTAGGTTGATACTGTATGTGTATCATGATTTCATCAAGCTAAAGATGGAACTTTAAACAGCAAAATTGGCATCATAACATCATGATGTACCATTTGCCTCCTTTCACACGAATGTCAATGACTAGCAGGCACAGTGCAGTATTCCTATGTCCAACTGCACAGTGTATTAGTGTAACTATCTTTGATATTAACTTTTACTTACCCAGTAAACAGAGATAGTTTGGCTCTGCTAATCTAGAGATCTTTGTGGACTGATTCAACAAATTATACAGTTCTGTTGGTTCACACAAGGTCACTCCTGCCATCCCACTGGAGAAATGCCAAAAATCCAATCACATTCTCTAAAGATTAATTCATGTAGAAGGCTTATTTGCACCCAGGTGACTTCTCCATTAAGAAAAAGTTCTTTTCTAAACTGAAATCCAAGGTATCAGGATGCCTTTCACTCTAAAGCAGATAAAAATGGGGCTGTTATATAGAGGTAACACTCAATATAGGAAATCTTGTTAACTCAATCTTAAAATGGTTTGCAAAAATTAGTGAAAAACCAGTTGATTATTAGGCTTATAGAAGAAAACACCTGATATAAAAGGAAAAGAGATTATAATATCTTTTATTGAATCACTGTTTGCTGAAAGTTCTCTGCCTTGTGCTTCAGATGGAATGGCTCCCAGTAGGATTAAATAAAGAGACAGGTATGACATAAAAAAATAGATGGGATAAAGGAAAATAAGAATATTCAGGCATTATTTCTTAATATTAGAAGGGATTTAGACTTTAGGATGACAATTGAGGGAGAGGCAATGCTCAATGAAACTGGCTTCACTGATAGAATGAAGGTGGCACTGCTTTCATTTTTTTCTTCTTTTGTTAATAAATGGGAGCTTCCCCATTTAGGGCTGAATTAGCCTATGCACTCAGTGATATAGTTTGCCTCATGTCAATTTCATGAACAGCAATACTATATGGCAAGAGTGATACAGACCATCAAAATTAATAGGAAAATGATTAACTCTGTGTGTGTGTGTGTTTGTCCCACAGGTACAGATACTACCAGTCTGGAAGAATAGGTTGAAGTGGAATAGTGATTACTTCCTTACAGAGGTCTCAATGGCAGAGCTTATGCTTTGCAAGCCAAAATTCCAGATTCAACCCTCTATATTTCTACTAAGAAAGGCACACATTTGAGAAATTGTGGTGTATCATTGTGGACAATACAAAGAAAGATATAGACATTGATCTTCCATGGAAGGATTCTTTTGAGGAAAGACAAGATGTGAATATAATTGTAACATTATTTATGCTTCTGAAACACAGTCAAAATAATACACGACCACCAGAAGGATTTAAGTAAGAAAAATATACTTTACTAAAATTGCCAAGCTTTTGTTGGGAACTCCCAACATCATCAGGGCTAAAAAGCCAGTCTACAACGATGACTTAAATAGGTTTGGCTGACATTTGCACCCGGCTCCTAGACGGCGTCACCGGCCCGGGTTGATCAATACACATTTCAGCTGTTTCCTTTGTATTACGCTCTCTTTTACCATTGCCTTGGGCTTTCCTGCCTATTCTTTCATTACCAGTGTGTGGATTTGTTGGCATCCTTTTGCCCTCCATTGCCCAAGGCAATGGTAAAAGAGAGCGTAATACAAAGGAAACAGCTGAAATGTGTATTGATCAACCGGGGCCGGTGACGCCGTCTAGGAGCCGGGTGCAAATGTCAGCCAAACCTATTTAAGTCATCGTTGTAGACTGGCTTTTTAGCCCTGATGATGTTGGGAGTTCCCAACAAAAGCTTGGCAATTTTAGTAAAGTATATTTTTCTTACTTAAATCCTTCTGGTGGTCGTGTATTATTTTGACTACAATAATGCCCAGGAGTCATATATATGATAAATAAATGTGATTTAATTTCATCAGCTATATATATTATTTATATAATAAAATTAAAAAATGTGTAAAACACTGATCAACTCAGTTCAGAACCTAGGAAGTATTATTAAAAAAGAGAAATCCACCAACCATGTGCAGTTCATGACATCAATTGTCATGGCAATTATGATTCCTGTTGCTATGTGTCTGTCCACCGTTACCAGAGTAACCATAGAATCTACTATTCATAATACTGAGTTTAATGGTGTTACAATTACTATAGTTGCATACACTCTACCATCGGTCCTTACCGTCCAGGATGATATCGGCAATTTCAAGGGAGAAAAGCATCGCTGCGCCTATGGTGATCTTCTTCGAGTTCCCACCGTCACGTCTTGCGATAGACCCACCGGGCCTATGAAGTTCCCGTTCCCATGCAGGGACGCTTTATGGTAACTATGAGATGACGTCACTCACGCTTTCGTACTCGCGCTCCCTCTCCGCGATACACGACCCCGAGGGGCTGATGGTGTGAAAATCGTTTTTTTCGCGAACCCGTTAAAATATCGCGAGAGTTCCAGTCACAGGTTATAAAAATTGAATGACGTCTCGCGAGAGATGAGAAGTTTCTTCGTTTTCATCTTGAAAGCTGTGGTGCGAAGTGTAGTATGTTAAAGTTCCTTTCGCTTAACTTCACTTTGTCTGAGGCGCTAGGTTTCCCAGGGCAGAAATGACTGTTCATTCACAGGGGCCTAGGTAAATTAAAATGATTGACAGCCGGTGACGGCCAAAGGAAATGAGCAAGATGGGCTCCCGAGTGTTTGAGGAAGAAAAGCATAGCGAGAACTGGGTAGAGCTGGCAATAATGAATCCGGCAGGCTCATTCAATTTTTTCAGCGTTATTCCATTGCAAAGGCAAACGCCAGCTTTGTGAGAAAGCAACTTTGTTCCTATTTTTTAAAACGTGCTTTGAATTCTCATTTTGAGAGATTGTGAGCCTGAGCAAGCTTTTCTGCCGATGTGTCAAACCTCTAAATCAGAATTACTAACGCAAACAGCCCCAGCCCCATGCTCACTCTAAAACCAACGAAAGAGTTCGTTTTCTTTGTTTCATTTATTTATTAAATTTATACCGTCGCCCATTTCACCCAAATGACTCTGGGCGGCTTCCATAATTAAAAGTAGCAAGGATTAAAAAAAAATAAAAGCCGTTAAAAAAACCGGGATATTTTTCGGCTGCATAAAAAAAAAAAAACGGTGACAAGGGCTTTCGCGATGTGACAGATCTCGCGAGAAGAGAATGAGATGAAAAGCAAGGCCGTCGAGAGCGCGAGCCGCCAAATTGTCGCGAGAGCTCGGGGGAAGTCTCGCGGTGCCCTCGCTGCCTGGAGGTCGTCGAGGAGAAGGAGAAAAGCCCGCCGAGTCTTCCTTCCTTCCTTCCTTCCTTTCTGCCGACGTCTCCCACCATGTTCTCCCGTCTCACACAGTCTGCGTGCGCTGGGCTTCGTAGAGGATTCGGCACCACCTCGCAGGTAGCTGGAGCGTGGGGATGCGGAGCAGATGGAGGGCTTAGAATCATTCTTTCAGCTGGGTCTGGAGGGCGGCCCTCCGGCCGGCCTCGGTAAAGACATCTGCAGATCTAGACGTGCCCCACAGGGCGGTCCCAGCAATCTACTCCCTTGCTGGCATTCTCGATTTAGGCCTTAGGATTGATTGGTCTCGACTCGGATCTTTTTCTATTTAGAAGAGTCGAGAGGTAAGGACTTCAGCTCCCAGAATTCCCCAGCCAGCCTATAGTTCCCCACTGTAGGCTTGGATGGGCGTTGAAATCCATGCACCTCAAAAGTGGCTAAGTTTGAAAAACACTGATCTAAAGTGACCTCTACCAATACAGCGACAGAGGTTGATAAGGGGAAAAATACATTTGGCCACGATAGACATTTCAGCAAGAGGTGGAGGCTGTGCTACAGAGGAAGAACCAAGACGTTTACCTGGAATAGGAGAGCCCTCATTAAATGTTACATCTTGTTCCTGCACCAAAGGTGCTTTTTTTTTTCTTTCAGGAGGCAACTGGGCTTTTTCGTGTTTCTTTTGAAGATGTTTTGCTTCTCATCCAAGAAGCTTCTTCAGCTCTGACTAGATGGTGGTCAGAACTGAAGAAGCTTCTTGGATGAGAAGCAAAACGTCTTCAAAAGAAACACAAGAAAGTCCAGTTGCCTCCTGAGGGGAAAAAAAAAAAAGCACCTTTGGGACAACCATACCTGGATGACTGAGAACCTCCATAGATATCTTGTTCCTGCCTAAGTAAGAGGATTTCTGGAATTGGAGATAGCCTTGATAAAGTAGTTCTGGCCAATTGTTCATGTGGATTTTAATTTATGGTTCATCTGTGTAAGTAGCCAATCAGAAAATGTGAAAGGGGGCCTCGATATTTAATGGAATAAGAAAATTATTTTGTGAAATTGAGCTTTATCAAACCCCCACAAATCCACCAATAGAACAAATCAAGTTTTTTCCTTTTAATGTTCTTTCACTTTAGCATGGAGGATTGATTTTATTTTTACTTGATTGTATTACAATGTCTAGGTCTTAGGGGAAGAACTTTTTATGTCTGTTACTAGATATGATGAATTTCAGTTCATAGCTTAATATTTTATAATTTGGTTTATGCAAATGTTGGAAATGTATATCTTTCCTCTGAATTGGTTCCATAAATCAGTGCCCTATTTTCTAGGTGTTGCTTGATTTGAGTTTCTATGGGTGCTAGAATTATAGCTAAATAACATCTACAGGGCTGTACATTTCCTGTCTTTTATCAAGATTATCTTGCCTGATATCTCCTAATGCTGAAGTTAAAGAAATTAACTTGCTCTGCAGCTTCCCAGCTCAGTGATGCATCCTGCTTTTGGCATGCAGTTATTGTTGAATATATTCATTCCATTTTCTTTCTGTTTGTTTAATAGATGTGATATACTGTGTAAGGACCAAGGCAGTAAGGAACATACTGTACAGATACTATGTCTGGTACATAGATAACTGACCATTTTTAAACCTCTATTCCTCATCTTCAGATGTAACTTTATGAATTAGTATAAAGTCTGTGAGGAAACGTGGATAAAATATTTGAATTAAGTCTAACACTTGGTATGGTTAGGTCAATGAATGCCTTTTATTTTCTTCATATCCCTGAACTCCCCACAACTTAAAATCTTTGTGAGATTTAATTTACCTATTTAGGGATTTAGAACTATGTAGCACTTTGTGGGGAAGTGAATACAACTTAAAGTACTGAAACTTAAAGGCCAGATATGACGTCACTGCAGGCAGAAGAACACAGAGTTATCTTGGAAATTTTCCCTCTACCGTTAGTTCATTGCATTAGCCAATTGCAACACAAGGTTGTGTTCACATTTGCAATTGTAACAGAAATGCATTATCAGCAGTGTACCATTAAAAACTAAAATGTCAGTATTGTGTCTCAATGTATTTCACATGATTTCTGATACATTCTTGCAATTGTGCAGCTGACAAGCTAATTGTCTTTACTAGCCTAATGCAGAATTGTATTGTTATGGTTTTTGGAAATTCTTAGCACATCTGGAGGACAACAGATTAGGGTATGGCATTTTAACAGAATAACAGAGTTGGAAGGGACCTTGGAGGTTTTCTAGTCCAACCCCTGCTCAGGCAGGAAACGTTATACTTTTGCAGACAAATGGTTATCCAATCTCTTCTTAAAAACTTCCAGTGTTGGAGTATCCACAACTTCTGGAAGCACATTTTTCCACTGATTAATTGTTCTAACTGTCAGGAAATTTCTCCTTGGTTCTAGGTTGCTTCTCTCCTTGATTTTAAATGGAGATAAGAATTTATTGCTCAATTCCAACAAGTATTTAGACTTTTCCAAAAAATTGCTGATCTCTTGTTTGTGCTTCGATTTATGTAAGTTAAACGTTACCACATTATATTGCTTCAGAAAACAATCTATTTCTACATTTAGGAAATCATAGTGTTAAGCATTTCATAATTCCTAGTTCAATACAGACAAGATGAATATGGACATAAAATATTTTTTTTAAGGTGAAGACTCTGATATTGAATATTTAGTAAGGTATTGATATACCATAGCATACATTATTGCACTGTGTACCTTCCCATTTTCTCAGTTTTAAAATATTTTTTTAAAATTTTATCCCCCAAATAACTTGAGTACTTGAGGTAGGAGCTGATGAGGCAACAAGCAGGCTTCAGTCAGGCCAGCTGCTTCTTAGTGCATACAGGAAGCAGAATTAACGTTATGAGCAGATTCTGACTAGTGGACTCTCAGAGGCTTCTACACATGCACTGCTAATCATTTGGCCAGATTGGAGCCAGTTCTGCCCTATCTCTCTGCTTTCTCCAACAATCAGCTGGTCATAGCCTGTTAGCATTCTCATCCACAGCTCTCCTGACAGCTTGCCTCAACCATGCCTCTCCTTGTTGGTGAAGGCAGGCAGATGGGACTTTGGAGAGCAAATTCTGGCTAGTTAAAGTGGGGAGGCTGTAGCAGATCCATGTGGTAGATGTCTACCCACCATAGTGGAAGAATCACTGCATTATATTATGATCTGCTTGAGTTACCAATTCTGTGCCTAGAATGCAGTCAGAGGTTTTTACTATTGCCACAGTTCACTTTGTCTTCTGAGATTTGATATCTAATCAGTCAAAATGTTAAAACACTTTACCGTCTTCCAAAGCTCAGCATACAATGGCCTGAACTGCAATACAAGGGATAATGATATAAAAAAATGAGAAGCTTCTTACAAACAACTCTGAATCTCCGTGTTTCTTATTTTTTTTTCCTTGCCCTATTCAGAATCATGCTAGAGTGGCTGTACTTGGTGCTTCTGGTGGAATTGGCCAGCCTCTCTCCCTCTTGCTGAAGAACAGCCCCTTAGTCAGTCAGCTCAATCTCTATGATATCGCACACACGCCTGGTGTTGCAGCTGACCTCAGCCACATCGAAACAAGAGCTGAAGTGAAAGGTAAGAGATATCTGCTCACTTCGGATATCTTGCTTTATTTTTATAATTTCTTTGTGCACCACTAATTCATAGAACCTGTTAAATGGGTACTGTTGCTATAGTAAAGGTTATAATTGATAGATTTCAATCCCAGAACTAGTTGTTTATAACAGTAGTCAGAATCTCAGTCATGGATTGACTCGTTTTGTCAGTTTGCTTGATTTTAAAAGCTTCCAAAAGGCAATCAGATCATATATGCTTTTAAAACAATATATCCTTCTTGGCCAATCATAGGCAGCGAGGTAAAAAGATTGATCCTGGCATGCAACCTCTGGCGGGAAAAAAGTTCCTTACTGTTAATCTAAAATGAGCTTCCCCTGTATCCTACAATTCAGGATAAGAGGATATCTGCTCTTTCATGAAAACTGCAGTTTAGATTACTTTTATAGGAGCTTAAGTCCTATTAAATTTGGTTCTGAACAAGCATGGATGGATCAGAATTCAGGTTTCTAAAGCAGTTGGAGACGAGGA